CAACTAGGTTCCCTCCTTTATTCTGTGTTTAAAAATGTATGATGTGTTCTAACATTTCATGCTGGTGATAGTGGATTGAATTGCCAACTACCAGCTGTTGAATAGTTGGGAATTACGAATAACCAACTATCAGCTAGTAGGTAGTTGGTTATTCGAATATCCAACTACCACCTACCAAATTGACGCTCATTCATTTTTGTATCTTTAAAGGGACTCCACTGAGGTTTTTTGACATGATGGTACTGAAAATATTTATTCCAGATAAATGAACTATTTGATGTAGGTTTAGACCAGTAATCTTTGCGCAAAATTTCAGATCATTCGCGCTCTTTGTTTTTTGTTGTTGTTTTTTCAGAATAATTATTCAAATTGTAAAGAAGACCCAAAATGATAAGCGTTTAAACACTCAAATCGGGCTTAGAAAAGCATAAAAACACGATTTTTCATTTTATTTCAAAGTATTTTTCTTAACTATCTTTGCATAATTTATATTTCTGTTTAAATTCCCCCAGCTCATTTATGTAAGAAATTCAAATATGTTTTAAGGCTTTTAAACCTTAGTGGAGTCCCTTAAACAACATTGCGATTAATATCTATTTTTATTTAATTGTACCCATGAAATATGGTGCTATATATCAGTCAAATATATTTCTTTTCTTTTTTAAATAATATGAAATATAATTATGAAAGTGGGCGGAGTCAAAACTCATATCTATTATAAGGGACTTCTTTCGCCATTTTGTTTTACGCCAGCCCGCATAGCTCAATCGGTTAGAGCGCGAGACTTGTAATCTCGACATTGTGGGTTCGATTCCCGGGCTGGCCAACTAAAATTACTAATCAGTCTTTCGGATGAGACTTTAAATCGAGGTCCCGTGTATGGGTGCTTAAACACTTGGCACGTTAAAGAACCAGGAGAAGCTTCTGGAATTGGGGCATCTTTCTGTATCTGTAATTGCACTATCCTCCAAAAAAATAAAATGACTAATACTCTTCTGGAGGACTCGCCCATATGGGCAACCGGTGGCGAGTATAAATAAACGCAAATACACACACATTTTGTTTGAAAAATCTGATATATTGAATACAAAACAACTTTTGTTGAATTTTGTTTTGAAAACTATCTAAAAAGATAGAATATGGTCTAACTAAGAAAATAAATCCGAATATAAATAATATATTGCTGCGCGCTGTACAATTGCAGTTGCGTGGCAAGCAAGGGGTTCGTAAGCATTTTTCTTTGATATTGAAATTAAATAAAAAGGTTATTTTTTCGTTTTATCGTTAAATATGGTCTATATATTTTCACTCAACATGATAAAATGCCGTGCCGGCTCGTAAAAAATATTTGGTATTTTATCATGTTTCGTGAAAATGTATTCAATATTTCACTCAAACGAAAAAAATATCCTCTTACCATTCTAACACGTCAAGAAATATATACATGTAACTATTATTACATCTTTTCGATGGTTTATAGAAATATATCAGTGAATTAAAACTGATAATTTCACTGTTTTGAATTTTAGCCCCTTACGTTGTTTCAGTGAAATACCAGCGTACACAGAACTTGAAACCAACTTAATAAGGTGACGTCGCAAATGACGTCACGTTGTATAATTATTTGGCGCGTTATTCATTTAGTATTAGGTAAAAATGTCCTTTTTAACGTTTGTTTAAGAAATAATATATCCCAAACAGTGATTTTATCGCCCAATAACATCACTGTTTGGAGTTCGGATGCGACGAATTATATCACGAGGGCGAAGCCCGAGTGATATAATGATGCGCATCCGAACGACAAACAGTGATGTTATCAAGCGATAAAATAACCGATTTGGATATATTATTTCGATTCTAACATGACATCAACAAATAAATGCTGCTCTACCTGATATTAAGCAAAATTCAGTCTGATTTGTTTCCGTACTTATTTTCAGCGCGTCACATTTTCAGTGGTTACGTCACGTGTATAATGATTACGTCACAAATCTAAATATAGAACTTCAAACAGTGACTTTATAGCATAATAACACACACTTTCGGTTCTTCTATGTTCAATAGGGAAAAATACGGGTCGTGTTAGAATTGCATATAATAAAAAGAAAATTTGTTTAGTTTAGTGTAGATCTAATTTTGATCGAAATATATTTCACCTCGTGAACACCAAAAGTTAACAATTAACTCGTGGCTGCGCCACTCGTGAAATATACCTTTTGGTGCTCACTCGGTTAAATATATTCCGATCTTACACTGAACTTAACAAATACCATCTATATAAGTTGGACTTTATGTTTTCGCCAATGGAAACGTTCTTTAAAGGCTGTTCCAGTGTGTTGGAAAAAAAACTGTCGTTAAATCTACTATAGAACTGTAGAAACATTTTGAGAATTACGAATTTTGAAAACGTTCGAAATTAATAAGGATTACAAACCCGAAAAGCAATGGAAGTTCTAAATTTAGAATGACTTGATTTTATTCCGGCATTGTTTGTAAATTATCTTCGTGGTGCAGGGGTAACGCGCTCGTTTCGTGTGTGAGAGGTCTGAAGTTCAAATCCCAGTCGAGGCAATTTTTTTTAAATTCTTTTTAAGTGTCTTTGTTAAAGAAGTAGCCATGATACGCAAGGATAAAGTGTTGCTGTCATAAAAAATGAACATAAATGATTTTTTGATGCAACTCTAGTTGGCAAAATTCCGTATGTATCAAACTCTGGTGTCTTGCAAGATGAATTATAGTACATAAAAATAAACTAATACAGGAAAATACATACAGATATACAGTACGATTTAGATTACAAAGATCAGAAAATACCACAGAGCTTGCAGCCCTTTGATTTACTGATGATCATGTTGGAGTTCTAATTTCACAACTACGCTATAACACTCGGCACAAACATAATATGCTCTTATTTTGTCTTGATGAGGTTTTAACATTGAACTGGGAAAATACTGAAAGCGAGATTCACTTTGCCATGCGGCGCACCTCATTTTGATCTCCGAATACTGACGGAAAGGGCCGAAAAGTTGCAATTGTAACTCGTTTTACATATAACACCCGCTGCTATGGCATAATGGACTTCCGATCTATAAAAACTTTGCAAGCATTGCTTATTGTTTGATATCACACACTGTGCATAAATTATCACAGCCGCTCAAGAAGTGGGAACTTCTGGTCTATAAAAAAAACGTTGCAAATATAGCTTATTGTTTATTCTTATCACTCATGATACATAAAACACCCGCACAAGAAGGAGGAACTTCCGGTCTATAAAAACTTTAAAATTGTTGTTCTAATATCAGATCATAATCAGATTTATATAGCTGATTTCATAAACTTATTGTCACGATCATTATTCAATGATTATAATTGGGCTGTCAGAGTGCCAAAAAAGAATAAATGTAGTCATAGATCTATGTCCGTGAGATTTGAATTTGAATAAATATTATACAACGCTTGTATAAAACAAAATACTTTTATATTTACGCATTTTGTCCGCTCTGACATTCGTTTTGTAACAAAGTTTTTTATAAAGATTAAATAAATTTGTTTTTAGACATATTGGTTTAATAAGAAACATGGGTTAATCTATGATATACCTTATTACCTGTGTTGTTGATTTATTTTAAATAAAAAACAGACTACGAAATTGATTGACATTTTTGGCAATTTTTGTGGAAGAAAAAATTAAAATTTGAAGAAAAAAATGTTACATTCAAGAGTTAAAATATTTTTCAATTGTATTGTTATTTCTGATTAATAAATAAAGTATTTTGTCCGCTCTGACATCCGTTTTGTAACAGAGTTTTTTATAAAGATTAAATAAATTTGTTTTTAGACATATTGGTTAAATAAGAAACATACGTTAATCTATGTCTTTTTATGATGTACATAAATACGTGCGTGTGTGTGTTGATTTAGTTTAAATAAAAACAGACCACGAAATTGATTTTGAGTTTTAAATAGGACAAATGTTGGCAATTAAACAAAACCTATTCATTTCATCTAATTTTGCGTTAAATATTATTTTACAATGTATATCTGGATGAAATTTTAAAAAATCTTTCTATTTTTTTAGATGTTTTTATTAAAAACGATTTTTTTCATTAAAAAAGTTGGCCTGAGCATGTACATGTACACTATCCAAGCCAAAACACCGACTGTCTGTTATATCGGCATTTTAAATTCTCTGTTTGAAGAATGTGGCTATAAAATTTCAAGGTCAGTGATAAAAGTCAATAAAAATACAAATGAGCCGCGTCACGACAAAAATAGTGGGTTTGCATCCGCGCAGTCTGATCAGGATCCATGCTGTTCGCTATCAGTTTCTCTACTTGTTATAGGGTTTGTAAGCGAACAGCATGGATCCTGATCAGACTGCGCGGATGCGCAGGCTGGTCTGGATCCATGCTGGTCGCACTCCCCATTCTGTTGGTTTTGTCATGACACGGCTCAAATGTGCTTGTCTCATTCACTTTCAAATGATAACAAAACAGATGATCTTCTCTATAGCCGTCCTGGAATATATAACTAATTTAATTGCAGACGATAGGACTAAATTTTTAAAAGTTTAGACGAATGTGTTAGTATGTTTATCAGTAAATTGTTCGACAATCAGTGAAAGGCAGGGAAACCAGGGGAGAATAAGCTGATGTTACAACTTTCGTCCGTCTGTCCCCGCATTGATCAACGTGGTAGTTCCGGGATGCGCCAAAGTTTAAATCAGGGACATATCAAATCGCAACTCGCGGACTTTATCAGTGGGGACTTTCATTTATGAATGGTGCCTTATCAAAGTGATCGAAAATCGAAAAGTGTAAATTCCTCGGTTTTCTCGGGAATAAGGACCCTGGTTTCAACTGATGTGGAATAGGAAACTGAGTATAATAATAGAATATTATTCACAAATTATATATTATATAATATCTAATATCAGTAGACATTAATTATTCGCATATTTTTATATATTCGCATATATTTTTTTTTTCAATCATAAATAGTGAATAGCGTGGTGGGAAGATCCCGACACGATGACCCTTACGATAAAAGCGGAGAGGACCAGAATGATCTCGCCGATCACTGCATACATATTCGGATGGATCACGAAACCCGGCTAACAGACTATCTGATATGTCCGTTCGGTTGCTGTGGATCACTAGACGACCAGAAATGTTGTGATGATCCCGAAAAAGAGAAACACGAAGAGGAGTAAGTCAAAGCATTTTATGCGCCAAATTTTATCACTTAAAAATGATTAAATTGTTTAACTCACGTGACTTTTAAACAAATTGCACGGGGCAGTAAAAAGCCCCGAATATCGTAGATATTTTTTGAATTTCAAGTTTAATAAGTAATTTTTTTTTTACTTTTTTGTCTCCATATTCTGTTTACCAAGTATTATCATAGTGATTGCTGATACGGTCATTCGTGGGACACTCATTCATTTTTACTATTACTGAGATAGTATTCGAAGGGTCAACTCAAATGTTTTGTTAAAACGTGTGGTCTGTCCTTGACTCCTTTTTGACTTGTGTAAGCTTATTCTTTATCTGTATGTTTTATGTTCGTAGGTGAAATTGTAACTATTTTTAATAAAAAAAATAAAAATTATTTGATTAAATTAAAGACGATTTGATTAAGTGGAATTTTAAGGGGGTTTTTTGCCAAAAGGCATGCGGGTTCGCCACCTTGTTTGTAACTTTCAACAATTTAAAGCCGAAATACGTACTTTCGCTTTTGACCATATGACAACAGTTGTGAAATGTGTTATTTTCCAAAGAAACTTGACATTAATGTTAAAAAATGCGGGATCGTGTTTAAAGAAAGAGTGAAAAGAATTTTCGTATTGATGTATATATTTTATACTAGTGACACGACTGCTTTGGTGCAGACATTGTTTCACCATTTTAGTGGCACCAGAAATTGTAAAATACGTACCTTGACACCCGGAAGTGAATAAATAATAAAATCATTACAACCCTACTTCTATAAATGGTATACAATGTATATAAGAAGATCGTAAAATTTTGTGAAATTAGTGATTTAATATAAATTGATTTACATCTGAGCTTCGATGATTAAGCTTAAACATACATGAATATGTTCAAAGAAATTTAAACAAGCTTAAATATGTTTAAACATGTCTGACTCTGTTTAAACATTTAAACATACCTGAATATCTTTAAACAAACTTGAATATGATTAAACAAACTTGAATATGTTTAAACATTATTTTATTTCAGAGGGAACGAGCATCTGGTCCGTGGATTGCTGATATTTGCTGCTGTGATGCTGATTGTCGCATTGTCCTGTTGCGTGTTTGGTGTGTACAAACACAAGAAAGCTAAGTTGAGAAGGACGTCTCCAGAAAAGATATATGCGGCACAAAGTAAGTATTTGAGCCGCGTCATGACAAAACCAACATAATGGGTTTGCGACCAGCATGGATCCAGACCAGCCTGCGCATCCGCGCAGTCTGATCAGGATCCATGCTGTTCGCTTACAAACCCTCTAACAAGTAGAGAAACTGATAGCGAACAGCATGGATCCTGATCAGACAGCGCGGATGCGCAGGCTGGTCTGGATCCATGCTGGTCGCAAACCCATTATGTTGGTTTTGTCATGACGCGGCTCAATTTCAAAGATCTCCACTACAGTTCAATAGCCTTAAAATTGCGATCCTAAACCCGGTTTGCGTTAAAGCGTGGTAACAACCTTAATTACAACATACAGTATATTTAACGCTTTTCGTTTGTTTTTTTGTTTGTTTTTTTTTTTTTTTTGTTTTTTTTATTTCTTTTTTTTTCTTTTTCTTTTTTGTCTCATTTTGCACAATTATATCGATAATCCTGAAAATCAGACTGAGCGAATGGACACAAGAAACGGATTGGTCAAGACCTACATCAAATGGTACGCAAAACCTCTGAACTGGTCAAGTTACAAGACCACAGCTGAGACTATTTAAAAACCATAATGTTTAGTTTAAAGAACTGCCTGTAATTTTGAGGGTGAACGTTTCTGTATTGATTTAATACAATCTTTTAGGAATGCTCGTGCATAAATTGAAAGAATAATGTTTGAAAATATCTGATAAAAAACTTAGCGGAAGGTGCATAGTGTTAAATCATTGCCAAACCGGCTAAAATTGCTACTTTTTTTAGTTTTTTTTAAATGAACAATTTATTTCGATTACAAATACATGTAGACATAGGTAAACTTTATTCAATTAATCGTAATGTATCACTTTTTAAGCGCCAGTACAGAGAACTTCCCCTTACAAGAGGCCTATCGTCTACTACACGGCAAGAAGTGGAATGAAACTCGACAACGACAATACGAAGAAGACACGCCCTGAACGCAACACCCAACCAGAGAGAAGTGCAGCCAGTGCACCCACCCATGATACAACTGCGCCGACGGAGTATTCAGAGAATGCCTCCGCAGACTCGAACCTTCCGCCATACTTGGACCAATCACCGCCTCCCCCGTACTCGTTTGGCAAACCGCCAGTGGCACCAAACTTAAGAAACTGAAGAAAAAACCTTTTTTACTTTTATATTTTTTTCATGTTGTACTCTTTGAAAACGATTACAAAATGTAATATACCAGTAATGATGATATATTTGAAAGAGTCACCATTTACCTCACCTTCATACTGCTGAATATTGGAATTTTGTGTGATGAATTTTTTCAGCTGTCTTTGTGAGACTGTGGTGTTAAGATATCAAATTTATTTCAACTATAAGCAGCCAATCGTATTGAGCCGTATTAGTAGTTAGACTGACCACGTGTACTACTAGCCTGTTTAATACACAATAATCATTATTCCAATTTGTACCAATATAATTAGTTTTAGAAAATAACTAGTGGTCTTAGAATGTAAACAACAACAACAACAACAAATAATGATAAAAGTACATGTATGTAGTATGTATTTTTTTCCACAATGACATTCACGGCAAACAGCGAGCGTTTCCGTAACAAACAATTAGATATATTGTTATTAATTTTTTATACTAATGTTATTTATTCTAATTGTGCATTTCATATATTATATACTCGGTTGCTGGCGACCATATGTAAGAATTTTATGCTTATAATGCAAACAAAATACGGTATTTTTTTTTGAAAAAGCTGTTCGTTTATTTACTTGATTTTTTTTAATTTCGTTTTAAATCATTAATTCGTGTATTTCCCCTTGACCTAATCTTGTTCGTTCATTTCTTCCAATTCGCGTAACAACTGAGCTAGAGCATCGTCGAATGTTCTCCCGGGTCGTCTTCCTCCGCCTGGGGGTGGGCGATTGTTGGGTGGACGCTGTGTTGGGCGGTTTGTTGCCGGTGGTGCAGTTGTGGTTGTAGTCGTGGTGGTCGTGGTAGTTGTGGTAGTCGTAGCTGGTTTGAAAACGTCTATGTTTAATTGGGGAATGTTGCGACATGAAGTTCTAGTGTCCCTACAAGTTTTAAATAGTAAATAAAGCTTGGGTTATGTGTTCTTCGTATACTGTTAATTAAAACATTTTTGTTGGAAAAAATATTTGAGAGCTACACTTGATATTTCTAACAGTTTCTGAATTTCGTTACTAAATCTGACCAAAAAAATCATTGAAAAATCATTGTGAAGTCCGTGTTTTCTTTATAATAAATGTACATGAATAATCGTTAAAAAAAAGATAATGCTGGTAATAACAAGAAATCTATTTTTCATAATTATTTAAAGGGTTGAATCGATCAAATTATCTATAAAAAAAAGATGATATAATTGGATCTGTGGAATCGAGGTCCTCGACCACAGATGTATTTAGCTTCATGCCTCCACTGAGTGTTTATTCAATATTGAAATTTTACTTACGTGGCCATGAAAGCACTCGGGTATTGCACCTGATTAAAGTTGAAGTTATCGCACATGATCCTGGATAGCGTGTGATTTCTAATTGCCGACTGTTGATCTGTAAGATACAATGAAAAAAGGCTAAAGAATTTAAAAAGGAAATCTAAAAATATAAAATTTCTTTCAAAATGACTCTAATTTCGGCATATTTTTTTTGAAAGTGTATACCAAATACTACTAGGTCTAGGGCAGCTATCACCAAAACGTTGATTTGAGGAAAACTCCATGTGCGAGTCTATATCTGCAAATATTTAGGTTGATAAGTTTGTTTTAAGTCACAATGGGAGTTTTAAGATATATAGTGACATTTTATAAACTAAACTGGCAGAAGGAAAACATCATTTGTCTTTAACACCAAAATAAGACACTTAGGTAGAACCACAGAACTGGATACGGCCATACACGCGAGAGTCACACGCCCGTTGCTATGACGCGACAACAATTGTAAGAAAACGTATAAAGTCAATGTGACTTTATATGGAACAAGCTTGAAAAATTAAGTTTTTTTCATGAGACATTGTATACTAAAATATGTTTGTATACTAAACCTTTGACATGGTAGCAACGAAAGTTTACGAAACTAATTACCCATTGTCACCAATATATAGAATTTTACAAGGCTCTATATACAGTTGATGTATTTTAAATCGAAATCCCTTAAACTTAGAATGGACTGTTCCAAATTAAAAACTGGCAAATATATTTCAAATCTTCAGATGAATTAAAAAAACGACAGTTTTACCCGTTTTGTACCACGCTATCGATGTGTGTTCTACCATAACACTGTATAAACATCTGGTAAAAAGTGATCACTCGGAAGCATTAAAAACATCAAAATTACATGAAAATTGCTGACTCGGTTTGATTGAGTCTGTACATGGGGGATAATGAAATTGTGCAACATCCCTCACGCCCCCTGGCACCGGCTTGAGCGGTTCTTACCTCCACTAAGGCCTACATCAGATCCCTGGTACCAGAACCGGTCCCCAAACTTCAGACGCATGAACTGCTCACCGAGGATACATTCCAAGGTGGGACCACCTGTACCTGCTGTCACAGGAACCTCGGTAAGTACTCCGGTAAACAAATCAATGTCTTGGGGTGATCTAAATATTGTGTAAATATACTTATTAGTTTTAGATGTAGAAAATTCCGACAGATCCGATTTAAATACTGATATTTTCTTTATATTCTTATATTGGACATACAATCATCCTAGCATATGCATTTCAATACAGTACATGTATATTGTTCAGACAATTTTCATTTGATAAACAATGCGCCGCGGATTCTAATTTTCTATAGCTGACAATATTTGCATAAAAAGTCCATACGCATACTTGTGAAAAAACAAACAACATCCGTCTGTCTGACAAAGCTGTATATTGATTGACTGACCATCTTGGTATCTCAAAGTATGATAATGTACAGCTCCAAAAATGTAAGATGGGCAAGTCAGGGTATTTTTGGTTAAGAAAGTAAAATGCTGAATGCTGAATTTTTAGTTCAGTTTGTGGTTTAACTAAGCCTAATGAAAAGTAGGAAAATAAAAGTCTCAGATACAGTACTTACTGATATCCTGCAGATTGAAATCTAGCGATGGTATCAGCATCATGGTCAACCAAATCAGCCCAGTCAGTCACTTCAGACAGACCACAGTTTGAACGGAATGCCGCATACGGTTGCAGTCCGTGATCCCGTCCACGCTGGATATTCAAAGCAACGAGGTCGAAAGCGATATTGTTGGACCGGTCAATAAAAAGGCGACTTCTGGCTTGCTCTTCGACAATACGATCAGTTTCAGGCGAGTTCTGCCCTGATAGCCAGTATGCCAAGCCTTCCATGCCATTAGGGTCTCCAGAGATGTAGGTCAAGAAGGGCTTGTTGTAGGTTTCGTCTGTTTCGAACCGCATGTTGATAGGGCCAAGGTTCCGTCCGAATAATGACATGTCACGTGGAATCCATGTATGTCCCATTCTACGGGAAGTAAAATGGATGCATGAATAAATTTCATCTATAAAATATTGGTGTGTAACATTTATAAATGAATAGTGGAGATAAAAACTGTCATGGAACTGATTTTTGAGTTTAGTTTAGAACTTTATATCGTGTTATATGTACCTGATGAACTTTCAGCATGTGAACAAACAGTCGCATATATACGCATGTAGTTTGATCATTTCATATAATATGTACTGTATTTTTATCATTCATTTCAATAAGATTCTAAAATATATATTTTAAGACAACAACTCTCAGTCGTCTAGTTATCGGACAAACTATGTTATAGGAGGAACAAATATCACGTCTTGAAGAATCGAAGGATCGAACAATCCCTGGACTGAGGGGTTGACAAGCTAGATCTTTCCCGATATATAAAGAATATACATGTCTGCATTCACCGATTTTTTGATAGAATAGATAAATTTCAATCATTTGAAACTGGAACGTTGTGGGTTTTTTTTTACCTGAATGCGATTCCAAAACTGTTGGATATTGTTGGATCTATTGTCGGGTCATACTCGTATGGCGAAGTACTCAGAAGCTTGTACTTTGCAAGCGCTGTAGGTGAAAGGAATGATGGAAGAAATTCGTCGTAAACAATCTTCTGCATGATCCCGATGAGAATTTTTCTGGTTTCCTGAAAGAGAGTATCCGGATCTGGATAGGATGTCTGCAGAAGACCAGCGATTCTGTTGTGTTCAAGGACAAATACGTTGTGGTAAGCAGTCAACGAAGGTACAGTATTGACGCGATGGTCACCTGTAAAAGAAATGACCGTAAATCAATTTAAGGTGCTACATAAATTGAAATATCAAATGTGTGTTGCACGGAATTAAAATTCAATAATATGGAACCGATAATACGTTATTAGTGTCCCTATTGGTTGAATGCAATCCATCTTAAAGAATAGGGTAAAGTTATGCACTTTTGTATTCAAAAAGTTTTTACAGTTTCAGGCACTAGTATTATTCAAGCACGACTGTCAGAAAAGTTTTACACATTATATTGCTCATTTTAGTGCGTTTCGAGGAACTGGTATCAGATGAGAAAACCTAAGCATCGCCTTGAAAAGTCTCGAACCCGTGATGCTTAAGTTAAGAGGAAGGAAGACAACTTGACTACACGGTTTCCGCTGTAATTTTATTTACTTCATGTCTTGATATTAAAATTAAACATCTGTTATGTCTTAAAAATTCTCCCGGACACGAACTTCTACGTAGGTTTGTACCACCGACTTCTCATACCATACTTCCGCACTATTTCATTGTATAAATGAGGACATACGCAGTGATCTCCCCTTAAAAGTACAATCTGCCAAGGGAGGTAATTACTGTGAGGAGTTTGGTAGTTTAATCAACATACCAGCAAGACTGCAGGCCTCTCCACCAGCTGTGTTTGCTTCGCATGCAGTGTTGTCATTTTTGTCCGGAAGTCTAAAACCATCCTGAGTCCTCAAAAAACCTAGAATTTAAATCAACTACATTTTGTATATGTATATATGTAGATTAAAAATATATATTATAGATCTACTTAAATACCATAATATCAGTACACTGCTTGGTTTATATATATATTACAATGAATTATTTTACCTATTGATAGTAGTGCAGCTTCCTTTTTGGCCTTTCAAGCAAAAATAAGAATAGAAAAAATAATAAAAATGTCCTGTAAATTCCAATTATCCCCTGAACATATTCATTTCACTACATATTTGCCAAAACTTACCCCTGACCATGTAGAGCAAACATTTTTTAACGGGCGCATGCCTCCAAACCCCCATTACATGCCGGACTACGCCTCTGATAAACTTGCCAAATGACGTTCATTTTTATGAGTCAATGGGTTCTCGTGTAGATCATTTTATAAATTGTGCGTTTTTCAAACGGTATACATTTGTATAAACTTAACTAAGGGGAGCAAAAAAGTAAATAATTTGTGACGCCTTGTTTAATTCTTAAGTTATATTAATGTTTTATACGTGAAATATCTTAGAGTGAGATCAATTCAATTAGTATTGTTCAATCAAGAAATTGTTTGGTTTATACATATTTATTTAAGCTCGATTGCGAAACAATTCCTTGCAACTTATATTTATCACTTTTGAGGTCGCTTCCTGGAAACAACCAGTATCATATGAAGTAACAGATAGTTGTGACCCAGTAAGGGCTATAACCCCATGCTCCATGGGTTGAGAGGCAGACACCAAGAAATAGTTTAACTAGTAAGGGTTTAACACGATTTGTCTTTCATTGACACATTTTTCCACGCCTTTCCTTTGCCACCAAAATAAATCAAAGCCAGTCTTCACTTCCGTGAAGTCTTTTCATGCTTTATATTTCTAGCAGCTTTTGATTCTAGACTCCTTTTAATTTTGAATGCACTGTTCAAAGCAGGGTGATTCCATGACACTATTTCGGGAGGTTAGAAGGTTAACTCGCCTTAAATTAATGGAAATCTTACCTGTTCCGGCCTGCCTAAGTTCTTGTAATTCCGACTCTGATGAACCATACACATTAGAGGCGTCAATAAATGACGTAATTTCATTCGTCTGCTGTCGGCGGCTCTGTCCGTTAGAAAACGCTGAAAATAGCGGACAACTGATCATAAGAGTGTAATGTTTTGCTAATCAATCTACATATGAGCCGTGTCACGACAAAACCAACATAATGGGTTAGCGACCAGCATGGATCCAGACCAGCCTGCGCATCCGCGCAGTCTGATCAGGATCCATGCTGTTCGCTTACCAACTCTATTACAAGTAGAGAATCTGATAGCGAACAGCATGGATCCTGATCAGACTGCGCGGATGCGCAGGCTGGTCTGGATCCATGCTGGTCGCAAACGCACTATGTTGGTTTTGTCGTGACACGGCTCATATTTGATTTATTTGTCACGCCGACACTGATAAGCATATTCACGTATTTATATTACTTGTAATTGAGATCCGTGGTATATCTGGAGACTTTCAAGCTTAGCTGATGTCATTTCGTACATCATCCGAGGTACACAAATGGACACCATATACTAAGACCACTGACCTCCTGTAAGCTAGCTTGATATAGCCTCCTAACATGAAAGAAGCTTAATATACGTATAAGTCCTCGACAGGATTTGGTAAATGTTTTAGTTATTCTTCTATAGATTCTATATCCAGCAAGCATCGTACTATGGTCTAAGGCATACATGAAAAGAAGCTTTTTACAAGATCAAGTAAGTTTAATAGATTATATAATTTCAGTAATATTTAAGAGTGAGTCATTCCAAAATAGAGAGACAATGATCGAGTTCATTAAGTGAATTCTTTTTTCTAATAATTAAAGCCGAGAAATTAAGACTTGTACGCATTTCACTTACCATCTGGGCAAAACACAGGTGCTGATCTCGCGAACTCCATGCAATAACCTTCGGTGAAAATAGGTTCGAATGGATCATTTCTTCCTTGAATTAAGATATTCAGACAATTCTGTGCACTGGAAAAAAAACGCTAATATTATTTATTGAAATTTTGTACTATAGCCTATAGGCGTCTATACGGAAAAAAGCATAGGTCAAGCATGAATTTTATAATGTTTAAATAATGGTTACCTTAAAAAGTTCCACTAAATGTTAAATAATCTATCATAAAAGCAGCAAAATGTAAACCTCCATACAAAATACTAAATCACTATAACTGTACTAATAACCAAAAAGCAACAGGAAAAAGGTGATTCAGGTTATTGGCTTATTAGTATTTTTTTTGGAAACCGAGAAAGTACACTAAAATAAAGTAAGAGAAAATATTAATTGGTGATAGTAAATTCAAAGATCACATGCTCAAGCTTTATAGTCAGTCCATGAGAGATAATTATTGATTCACATAAATTAACAATGTTTTTGTTCAAATGGAGAATTTATACATGCAAAAACTTACTCATTTTGGGCTGAACAGCAGTCGGCAATGTCTGGAAATACATTTAAAAAAAAATCAATAATCAATATTCTTCGACAACTCAAAATTTAATAGTTGCTCATTTCTTAGATGCTTAAGCAATAAAATCGAAAGAAGAAAAAAAACTTGAAAAGTCGGGTCGATTTATCCAGAGCATCGATTTTGAACTGCACAATACGGTTCCATTCCTAAAAGTTACGTATTTTGTATAAAACATATTTGTTCTTAATCTTTTGGGAAGTCTTTAAATAATCTTTAATAAAACTGAACAAAATCTCTATATTCATATTTAGTCAAAACTAAATGGTAAATACTAAGTATTTTTAGCGTATGTAAGTTTATCAATCAAGGGAAGTAATACCCGCCAAACCGATAGCATTCCCGAGAAAAATGTACATAAAAATGCATTTGAGCCGCGTCACGACAAAACCAACATAATGGGTTTGCGACCAGCATGGATCCAGACCAGCCTGCGCATCCGCGAAGTCTGATCAGGATCCATGCTGTTCGCTTACAAACCCTATAACAAGTAGAGAAACTTATAGCGAACAGCATGGATCCTGATCAGACTGCGCGGATGCGCAGGCTGGTCTGGATCCATGCTGGTCGCAAACCCATTATGTTGGTTTTGTCGTGACGCGGCTCATTTGGATTCTTACTTCCTTGTACAGGCGTCGCAATTAAATCATGATCCAAGAACTGTCCCATCTGAAATGTATGTAATGTGATAGTTGGGCTTCTGACCTCTCGTCCTCCTCTGCCACGATGGACCTCATTACTGATCCTCCGGGGGTTGGGCAAAGCTCCTCCGTTTGGTGTGACGGAAGTAGACCTGGCCTCTCCAATGCCATCCTCTTTAAAATATAATACAAGAGAACGTTATTGTCGAGTCAATTTTAAAAAAAAGAACAATTTAAATTCAAATACTGGTGCGGGGTTATTAGCCAATCGCATCATCTCGGCCCTTTCCGTCAAACTTCGGATAACTATTGGTAATAATCGAGATAAGCCGATTCGGTATTTAGCGGTACGGTAGGGAAGACAAGTAAGCCTTCTCCGGGAATTTTGATATTAAAGAGCGGAGATTCGAGTTTATAATCAACTGGTGCATTACCGTAAGCGGGTTCGAGAACACGTCTCTGTGGGACCCCTGCCATTCCCCATCTTGGCTGCTGCAAGTTGTTACAACTACCGTCAATACGCCGGTATTTCTCAGTGCCACATGCCGCGACCGGTGGTAGTGGACAAGTTCCCTCTTCTTGTCGTAAAAACTCCGCCCGTACTTGCTCGTGCTGCAGATCTTTCAAGGAAAATCCCCTGTAAGCAAAATAACCTTGTAAATTATGTTATTGCCATTTATGTTATATTATACATGTCATGTAGTTCAGACATGACGAAAATAAAAAATTATCTGAACCAGATATCGATAAGCTTTAGAAAAGTTTGCAAGCTATTTGTAAGATGCTTATGTTGTTTCATCGTCGGATACGCACGGCCGAACCATTAAGATTTATGATAACATGTTAATCAGCCGTGGGTATCCGAGGATGATGTTGTTTTAATAGGTTAAGTTCTTTATTTAAGCGACAAATAAATAACAAAGCCGTACCACGTACAGAGCTTTATGTAAGTAAGCCGTACCAGATAGCCTTCGGTTATTCTTATACATCTTTCATATAAATAAATATGAAAATTAGATTGATAAAGAATTCGGGATCCTGAGGGTATAATTATTTATAAATGCAACACATAAAAACTTTGTAGAAATAAATTGATAGAGGTAAAAGGTCATTACCAAAATAAGTATCATAATATTAATAAGACGTGACATTAATTACATAATATTTTAGTGATACACATTAATTATATTTTCTTTCTTACATAGCTTTAAAAAATTGACATTGTTTGTTATAGAAATCCGAAAATATTGTTATGAAAATAAAAGTGCAGTCTTTGCCAATGGCAGGATATGCAAATAATGTTTGTTCAGGCAATTTACAGACCAATGCACTGCCAAAGGCATTGGTCAACTAAGTCCGTCCCAATTTTTCACACACACTACCTATATTTTGACCTTCTTCACTGTACACTATTCAATCAGGACTTATTTCGAAATTTTCCCATACAATAATGAATTGTTTAGTCCAGATTAAAAGATGGACAAGTCCATTTAAGATACTCAGGGTGGTAATGGGTTAAGATGATTAGTTCTATAACAATTAAGTTACAAAAAATCGATTGGATTTGTTTTGTTTTGATCCTTTAAGCAGATTTAGATTTTAACCGAAGATTATCTTAAGTGTTTTAAGTTACATCGACACTTTAAGGGCACGTTACGAGTTTTCATAATACGTACTCATTGAGAAGAATTCTGGCTGCATTCAACATAACATTAGCATGTCTATCCTGTTCTTTGTCGGCACTGGTCCGGCGCCCATGAAAGTTTGCCATCATTGGACATCCTGACCTTTTAGAAGACCCAACTGAAATAATAAATCATATTTTACTTCCCAACGTTTTTCCCTCAACAATACCACGATTTGTCGGGGGTTGTCTAATACTCGTAAAAACAAATGTTTTACAGAGTTAAGTGATTTACTGTTCTCCACTTGCAGCATGCAATTTCTCAACGTGAAATTTTACCAACAAATGAAACGAAAAGTTATTTGTCTTGAAAGAGGATTTACATGTATGTGGAGCACGGCAAATGTTCGCATCTCCAAAGTGACAGCTACACTTTGCACCACAGTCAAATTTCAGGTATCATCTTGTTTCGGTATTTGCCAATTAAATTTTATAAGTGCAATACCATGAAAGTGTTGTATTTGTGTCGAAATTTCAAAATATTCGTATTTCCAGTGAGCAAATATGAAGCGCAATAAAAAAGTTATAGACCAATGTGAAATGTCAACATTTAAGCTGTTGTAAGTAAATAACAAAACTTTTATACTGTAATTACGTGGCGAATCAAACTTTTAAATAACAAATTTAACTTTTAATTGCGCACTTTTTTCATCTTACTGTATATTTACAAAACTAAAACGTCTATTTAAAATATAGAGAGAAAAAAGAATCCCTACTGTAGAGAATGCCAAAAACGACAAAATTGAAAATGTTGCAGGCTCTATTTTATTGGGCTTATTCATAGTAGGTACTAGAAAGTGCAAGTTACCGTTCGCACCTCCTAGCACAAGCTTAAGCAGAATTCAACATTTAAACATGAAAAAGGTGAAATCTTAATTTAAAAACATTTGCAGATATATTCATACGACGGTTATCATGGCATCTTCAATGTGGCACTTTCGTATAATTCCATGAAAAGCAAGTAAATGAAAGCGGGTGCCCTAAACGAGACAACAATCAACGGAACTAAACAAAATGGATTTTTAAAAGGTGATCAGAGGTTATGAAGCCTGCATATCACAGATAAGACAAAACAAGTACGAACCTGTCCGTTCATCAAGCTGCTGGAGTCCCCTTTTAAGAATATCAATTTCCTTAGCCCTCTCAATTGCTGATCGTACCTGGTGGGTTGTTGGCACACAATGAACCCCGACTGTCAGCAGCAGTAACCCAAGACTCTTCCACAGCATCTAAATATTACATGTTTTACAATACAAAGGTCATATACTTTGACTTTTTCCACCTGAACTCGAGGAATATGTCAGGTGCATTTATTTAGGTACGGGTGGAAGCCTTAATAACATAAATAGGATCGGACCCATATCGGTTATGGCTAAGAAGTTAATTCACTGGACCTTTCGGCTTGTTTGAAATCCGTAAAGTTTTTAATAGGTATACATTCTTTTAACCTTGCGTAATTTAATTGCATTAACTTTGGTTAATTATACATCATGTCTTCCTAAAACCGTTTTGCTTTTAATTAAATTATCACTTTTGTTTCCTTCAGTTAATCTATATTTTAAAATCGGAAAGTACAATTTGTACGTAGAAGAAGCCCGTGCACGTATGTGAAAACGTTCGTTTGTGCGAAATAGATAACATAGTATTTATCGTTCGAGCGAAAAGAAATTCACATGAATTCAACAAATGCAACATCACTTCGACACATGCATACATTGCAAATACACATGTAGTACGAGTACATTTATCAGCTTGAACACAATCAAATAGGCCACCATTAAAAACGAAATTTTGATACGTTTAGTGATAAATCATTTTTGAATTACTAAATAAAAGTTCCTCTTTGTATTTAGTCTTGCAAAATAGTATTTCTGAGTATATATGAGCTTCAAAATACGTGCTTCAAATTACGTGCTTCAAAATACGTGGATTTTTTTTTAATTTAAAAGATAATTTTTAAAAACATTCATAATTTTAAGCACTTGTACAATTAATACTGATCAATTACATGTGTAAGCATAAAGCCTTAAACAAAATATTATAAAATCAAAAATGTGCTAATTTAAAACAGCATTGTAATAAAAATTGTGTATTGCCTTATTCTTTTTATCCAGAAAGGTAAAGTTTCGTACAAAATAATATTACATCACTCGTTGACGGGAAATACAGATACATGTTAATGTATAAACGTGTTCCAAACAAATATAAATTCACGTAATACACACGTACACGTAAATTGGACAAAATATACACCCTGGAATTATTTTTTAAATTTCCAATGGTATTTGCCGAAATAAAAATATTGCAGAGCTTCAAGAGCGTACTTTTTTGTGGAGACGCACGTGCGGGTGCGTGCACGTGTGTGCATGTGACACACAAAATGCAAATAATTAGAATTGGCTGTGGGTTTAAAAAATCTGAAAGCTAAAGCAACACTTACGGTTATAGATCTGGCAATTCCTTCCGCGTTTTCTCTTTATTGCCACAGCTAAATAAGAACACTTTTTGATCCGTGCTCTCCTGTTCACGCAGGAATCTGAATCGGGTAGTTGAGGCTCTGTGTTTATATAGCTTTTAGTATTTGAACATTTTCAAATTTCTTTTGTATTGTCACGGTCAATGCACATCTCAAAAATCAGAATGTATGTATACAGTGGGTGGGGATAATAACTTTATATCACGATTTATTTTGAAATTCGTTCTAATGTACCAGATATAAGCACTGATTATTTTGTCAAATAGGATTAAAGTGGACCAACGACAAGTTTATTTTCTAATGTGAACATAAAGACTTTTTTAATAATCAAGGGTAGATAGTAATAAAAAGATATCTATATGCATTTGTTTTTCAAGTAATATCTTTCGAATGCCCAGTTTAGATTATAACTTCAAAATAAATTTCAAAACAAAACTAAACTTGCTAAAGGGGCAGACAATATTATCGTCGCATTCGGAGCACACCAACGATTGGATTCGCGGCATACTGGCTATTTAAAAAGGATGGAAAGGACCGAATAGTTGAGGAAATTTGCAAATATATTTTAAAGAAGTTCCAATGAGGTTCAACAGCTTAAAATATGACATTTGAAATTCTGACATATATCAACTGAGTTAAAACAGAAAGAAATTATTAGATGTATTAAAGAAATTTACTGAGATTTATTGCTCTTCAATTTACGTCAATTTGTGCAATAAACATGGTTTTTCTGGGAAAAATGATATCTGTGAAAGGTCTGATTTTTTTTGCACACGTTTTTAGTATACAGTAGACCTATATCAAATATTGTAAAAATCCTGTCATGCCAAAAAACCTCAGTGAAGTCCCTTTATGTTGTGAATTTTGCTTAAAATAAAACGATCTGGTCGATTGTTTATAAATACATACATGTTTAACAGTTAAATGATACCGATCATGCATACATGCATAAAATTGATAATGCATTTTAAACTCATCTTTTGATAAACCTACAACGTTTGCTTTTGTTCTTTTTTTTTTCTTTTTTTTTTTCACTCAATAAGTAAAGCGTGTATCCCAACACTAATTTTCGCCCCTTTCCTCCAACAATTGCATTTTTTTTTGGCTATTTCTGTCGCTCTACGTATAAATAATTGGCGATGTGTTCAAAACGAAGGACCTTTTGCGCGAATAAAGCATCGGTTGGCTCGATAAGCATAGGGACGGACGGGGAATGTCACCTGTTGTAACTGATAATGGCATTAATGTTTTTCACTTAGCCAATTGTGTTACGTACTCGGTGCATTATCTTGTGAACCTTTAATGTACCCTGCGAATAACATTTTTTTAAAGGTAGCGATGGTATGTCATTTAAATAAATCATACAGCTTTGTATATGCCAACCTTCAACGATTTTTCATATTATGTTAAATAGATGCTTGCTTAAAAACTGTTTGCACCATAGTCTATGTTGTGCCTGGTTTAACTAACATGCGGCGGGGTATAAATTAAACATATGTCTGCGTGATTGTCGAAAAATTAAAATAATAGTACCAACACGATTTTAATATTAAAAATAAAGTGTGGGTAGTCAATCTTTTTGTCAAGAGTTCTTAAGTGGGCGTTGTGTAAGCACGTTTTAATTTTTTTACCTGTTCGGCGGCGTGACCGACAAGCGGATAAATAAATAATCATGTATTATTGACATAAATACCACAAAAGTGTTTGATTTCGGTCATATATGGTTTTCAACCAACAATTACGTAAACTTATTGTAAATTTCATTATAAGATTGAAAAATCGTGTCGGTATTCCGACTGTATCAATGGCAAAATGCTAAAAATAGAATTTAATTGGACTGTACAACGAAAATAAACTTTAAACTATAATAATAGCAATAATGTTACAGTGATGTTTCTGTATAGCAACTTACTAGTACTTCACCCAACCGTTAAACACTATTTTAGTTAACAATTAAGCATCGACTTTGATGAAGATTTGTAAGTTTTGCAAACAGTGCAACGCCTGGTTATAATGGTAAAATTTAAGATAATTTTATTTTCGAATGTCAGCTTTTGGGATGTTGCATCAATTGTCCAGAAATAAAAAGTCATTTTATTGCGTTTGAAAAAAGGCGAAGATAAAAATCCTAAGATTTTTTTATCCTTAAATTGTGTTAGTGAAGAATCCATTGGTTCGCTTTGGTTTTGTTGTTGTTAGCGTTTTGTTGTTGGGTTACAAACAGAAAATTAACATTTTTAATATTTTTCGACATAGGATTATCGCTTTAATTAACGCGTAGAAGAATTAAAATTTATAAGACTTTGTAATTTTCATCAGAAATAATTGGAATTCCTTATAAGATGTGTTAAATATAAATGAGCCGCGTCACGACAAAACCAACATAGTGCGTTTGCGACCAGCATGGATCCAGACCAGCCTGCGCATTCGCGCAGTCTGATCGGGATCCATGCTGTTCGCTATCAGTTTCTCTACTTGTAATAGAGTTGGTAAGCGAACAGCATGGATCCTGATCAGACTGCGCGGATGCGCAGGCTGGTCCGGATCAATGCTGGTCGCAAACCCATTACGTTGGTTTTGTCGTGACGCGGCTCAAATGAATACGGTTTGGTTGGTATCTGGACAAATATAAGCGGTTTTGTAACATTATTTTTTGTTTTAATCTTTTAGCAGAGCGTATAGAAATATACAAAGTTATACGATGTTTAATTGTTTTATTCTTACACGTTTATAAAGCTGCACGCCTCCAGATGAGCCAAAATATTTCAAGAAAATAAAAAAAGTCTTATATTGGTAGTCAAAAATTTCGACCACTGGGCCCACACTTCTTATTTTTGGTGCGTTTTTCTTACAATTATTTTCTATTCATTTATGAGAATTTCATATGATAGAAATAAAATAGGTCTACATAATTCCTTTTACAGTATTAAACAACATTATATTTTCATATTGGTTATTCCATCATGAGTAATACATAAAATTTATGACTTTTGAATCAGCTAGAATATTTAGACTTGACTTAGCTAGAATCTTAAGACTTGATTTAGCTATAATATTTAGACTTGATTTAGGTAGAATATTTAGACTTAACTTAGCTAGAATATTTAGACTTGACTTTGCTAGAATATTTAAACTTGACTTAGCTAGAATACTTAGACTTGACTTAGCTAGAATATTAAGACTTGACTTAGCTAAGCTAGAATATTTTGACTTGACTTAGCTAGAATCTTTTGACTTGACTAAGCTAGAATATTTAGACTTGACTTAGCTAGAATATTTAGACTTGACTTAGCTAGAATATTAAGACTTGACTTAGCTAAGCTAGAATATTTAGACTTGACTTAGCTAGAATATTTAGACTTGACTTTGCTAGAATATTAAGACTTGACTTAGCTAGAATCTTTTGACTTGACTTAGCTAGAATATTTAGACTTGACTTAGCTAGAATCTTTTGACTTGACTTAGATAGAATCTTTAGACTTGACTTAGCTAAAATCTTTTGACTTGACTTAGCTAGAATCTTTTGACTTGACTTAGATAGAATCTTTAGACTTGACTTAGCTAGAATCTTTTGACTTGTCTTAGCTAGAATCTTTTGACTTGAATTATCTAGAATCAATAGACTTGACTTAGCTAGAATCTTTTGACTTGAATTATCTAGAATCAATAGACTTAACTTAGCTAGAATCTTTTGACTTGAATTATCTAGAATCAATAGACTTGACTTAGCTTGAATCTTTTGACTTGAATTATCTAAAATCAATAGACTTGACTTAGCTAGAATCTATTGACTTGAATTATCTAGAATCAATAGACTTGACTTAGCTAGAATCTATTGACTTGAATTATCTATAGAATCAATAGACTTGACTAAGCTAGAATCTTTTGACTTGAATTATCTATAGAATCAATAGACTTGACTTAGCTAGACTCTTTTGACTTGAATTATCTAAAATCAATAGACTTGACTTAGCTAGAATCTATTGACTTGAATTATCTAGAATCAATAGACTTGACTTAGCTAGAATCTATTGACTTGAATTATCTATAGAATCAATAGACTTGACTTAGCTAGAATCTTTTGACTTGAATTATCTAGAATCAATAGACTTGACTTAGCTAGAATCTTTTGACTTGAATTATCTAGAATCAATAGACTTGACTTAGCTATAGAATCTTTTGACTTGAATTATCTAGAATCAATAGACTTGACTTAGCTATAGAATCTTTTGACTTGAATTATCTATAGAATCAATAGACTTGACTTAGCTATAGAATCTTTTGACTTGAATTATCTAGAATCAATAGACTTGACTTAGCTAGAATCTTTTGACTTGAATTATCTATAGAATCAATAGACTTGACTTAGCTAGAATCTTTTGACTTGAATTATCTATAGAATCAATAGACTTGACTTAGCTAGAATCTTTTGACTTGAATTATCTATAGAATCAATAGACTTGACTTAGCTAGAATCTTTTGACTTGAATTATCTAGAATCAATAGACTTGACTTAGCTAGAATCTTTTGACTTGAATTATCTATAGAATCAATAGACTTGACTTAGCTAGAATCTTTTGACTTGAATTATCTATAGAATCAATAGACTTGACTTAGCTAGAATCTTTTGCCTTGAATTATCTATAGAATCAATAGACTTGACTTAGCTAGAATCTTTTGACTTGAATTATCTAGAATCAATAGACTTGACTTAGCTAGAATCTTTTGACTTGAATTATCTAGAATCAATAGACTTTACTTAGCTAGAATCTTTGGACTTGAATTATCTAGAATCAATAGACTTGACTTAGCTAGAATCTTTTGACTTGAATTATCTATAGAATCAATAGACTTGACTTAGCTAGAATCTTTTGACTTGAATTATCTAGAATCAATAGACTTGACTTAGCTAGAATCTTTTGACTTGAATTATCTAGAATCAATAGACTTTACTTAGCTAGAATCTTTGGACTTGAATTATCTATAGAATCAATAGACTTGACTTAGCTAGACTCTTTTGACTTGAATTATCTATAGAATCAATAGACTTGACTTAGCTAGAATCTTTTGACTTGAATTATCTAGAATCAATAGACTTGACTAAGCTAGAATCTTTTGACTTGAATTATCTATAGAATCAATAGACTTGACTTAGCTAGACTCTTTTGACTTGAATTATCTATAGAATCAATAGACTTGACTTAGTTAGAATCTTTTGACTTGAATTATCTATAGAATCAATAGACTTGACTTAGCTAGAATCTTTTGACTTGAATTATCTATAGAATCAATAGACTTGACTTAGCTAGAATCTTTTGACTTGAATTATCTAGAATCAATAGACTTGACTAAGCTAGAATCTTTTGACTTGAATTATCTATAGAATCAATAGACTTGACTTAGCTAGACTCTTTTGACTTGAATTATCTATAGAATCAATAGACTTGACTTAGTTAGAATCTTTTGACTTGAATTATCTATAGAATCAATAGACTTGACTTAGCTAGAATCTTTTGACTTGAATTATCTATAGAATCAATAGACTTGACTTAGCTAGAATCTTTTGACTTGAATTATCTAGAATCAATAGACTTTACTTAGCTAGAATCTTTTGACTTGAATTATCTATAGAATCAATAGACTTGACTTAGCTAGTAGGTGTTGTATGATATGAACTGCATTTCTACATGGAAATTACTAGCAATTTTATTAGCAAAGCTACGCTCCAAAAGTCTGTGAAGCCAAACGAAAGTGGAAACACTGCATCGGAGTTGGAAGTTGAACATGAGTTTCACGCAACTGTTCGGACCTTCCCGTCACTTTTCGAATACGATCGTATCTTTTCGGCCCTTTCCGTCAAACTTCTGCAACATACGCAGATCTTATATCTCACTTCAGGCCATGAAACAAATATTTACATACAAAGCGGCACATTTATGGAATACATTTCCAACTGACATAAAACTACAAAGTAAATTGTCATCTTTCAAGGGTAAACTAAAGAGTTATTTAATAAAAAATACAGCTTAAAGCGCTAAAAACTTTAAACTGATTTTAATCAGAAATTTATATAGCTATCTATAGCGCTTTGTTTGTTAACATTGATTGATGATTGTATGTGCATACGAACTTAAATTACAAATTTCTATAAGTTATTATTTATAATCCTTAAAGATGCTATGTATTTTGTAAGAGTGTTTGTCGTCTTTATATTGTTGCTTATTGTTGTTTCTGTTTTCTGTTTATATATTTATATTTATGGCCATAGGAAATAAGTTGTATGTTTTTTATGCACTCTTAATATGTCACCTTCTCAGAATAAAGTTATTATTATTATTATGATTATGATTATTATGATTATTATGATTATTATGATTATTATTATTATCATTATAACGGATACGGTATTTCGGTCTTATACCTACGCTGAAAAAGTAAACCAAACTAAACTAAGCAAATAGTATGTAAATACTGGATTTTATTGACTAACTTAATATTCATAATATTGTGTAAAAATGTACATGTCCGCTTGAATTGAGTTAATTTATGTATTTAAAAGTAAACAGTACATTATTTATATGCTTATTATTATGTTTGTAGAAAAGGAAAGCTGTTGAATGGGTAATGAGTGTACGTCAATCGTGCTTAAATTGGTTCTAGTTGTCAGACATATTTTACCGAAATATGTATTATTATCATATATATCATTATAAAATATATTTTTTCCGCTATGTCGGATACATTAGTTACTTTATATACAAAGATTACATCCTCTGTTTTTGTTTACATCTGAAAACACGCGGTTGAGCTACTTTCAATCCGCATTAACTCTGAGATGATAATGTTCATTAGCCGAGGTGTTCCAAATGGTTTCACACATGCATGACGAAAATTTAAATGAAGATTTGGGTTGTAATGGCAATAGAAGAGTTAAATATTTATTAAAATAAGAAAACGTCAACAATGTGACACATGTGTTTTGTAAAATTTAATTCCTTTCGATAGAAATATATTAAATATTTTTTAAAAAAATAATTTATTTCAATAAATAAAATACAAGTCAGTTGATATCATACAGTATGTTAAATGCCCGATAGTTCAACTTTTTCTTTTCAACATGTAATATCTTTTATCAAGATGAACTGGTGCGTTTTCTTGGTCCCGAAATGAACCAGCAATTAATTCCCGCGTGCAGGGAAACACAACGCCGTCCCTTAAACAAAATAGTCCGCTGGAGTTCCGGCGAAGATGCGCTGCAAGAATACCGGTAGGAGACTCTGCTGTGATGAGGACATCGCATATTGAGAGAATATAAATATCTACCATGTTTATGAACGCTTTCAGTTTTTTCGGTGACTCAATTTCATCTTCATCTGCTTTATATAGCTTATCGAATTCTATGTGCACAAATGCTTCGTTGTTATCAATGACGTCATTGAACCTTTTCTCGAAACTGTCTTCAGAATGTTTGTTAACTCTATATATTTTATAACCGGAGTAGTTGTAGTTAGATTTAATAAAGTCTAAAACCCCGTTTGTTTTGATATCAGTATTTGCTTGCCCACTAAAACATATTAATCTATTATCACCGACCTTTTCTATTAAATGAGAATGAAGCATGTCTTTGAAGGACTGTGGTATCCTGAACAAACCCAAATGCACCAGTCTGTTGACGTCACATGCATGCATTCTGAACAGCCATGGCATCTTTGTATATGACTGACGATGCCTACGAATGTCTTGTATCCAATTCTGGTTCCCTGTTGATGTCATGAAATCCCTGTCAAAGGCTTGATTAAAGTTCATTTTCTGAAGCTTTCCTTCCAGAATATGCAAATCAGTCATGGCTCGATTCTGATTGGCTGTCGGAGCAACTATCATTCCGCCCGATTTGTTTAAAATCTCAGACATGTTCACCTTCCATTTGTAGCCGCGTTCTTCGTAAAGATCGAAAACTCGTGTTGATAAGACAGCAAATTTCCTCTCAGAAAGAACAGACAGAAGAAAAGCGGAAGTCAATCCGTATTCGTGCGCATTTTTGCGCGCGCAGCTTTGGTCACACATATAGATTATAGACCGATTGTAAACAGTCGAGAAGTTCGTAAAGTTATTAAAGAATTTGTTAAATGTTTTAACAATTGAATTTTCCAAATTTGTTCGAATTTCAATGGCACGTGCAATGCTATGGTTTGTCGCATCCACGTTCATTTCCTCTGTAAAATTTGATCCTTCACTGGCCTGCATAATACTGATTAGTATAAACATTGAAAATAGCCTTGCCAATCCGCAGCTGCCATGTTGAAACTGGAAAAAGGTAAAAAAAACACTAAAGAAGCAAGCGTCGACTAATGCTTTTATAATAAGAATCAGATCATGATCATCATCCTCGTATGCTCTCATTATAAAACTCATATTGATGATGATGATGATGATGATGATGATGAGTTTATGATGATGATGACGATGATGATGATGATGATGAGTTCATGATGATGATGACACAGGCACGACTATAACTGAAAGGCACAGGGGGGCTAAAGTTCCCTTGAAGCTCTGGCCTATTGAATTATTTCCTATCAATACAATTTAAGTTCTGGAAAAATGTTGATTTTTATTAACATATGCAAATAAAATGCATCAGTGGTCACCATTTAACATATAGATTTCATCTTTTGCAGAGAGCTCCCCCACCCCCCGCCTTTCCTCTGCCATCCCCTCGCTGCCGTTAGTGTTGTTTTATTTTAACCAGCCGAATTTTTTAAGTTTTTATTTATCCGTGCCTGTGATAATAATACAATGTGTAAGTAATATCTATAACTTGCATCATGCAAAAAAAAACATAGAAACACAAGAACAACGAAATACGGGATCTTTGCATCAGTTTAATGGTACATTATGCCTCAGAAACTCTTTTTTTTCTCAATTCTTTAGAAATGTCATGTGTCCAATAATGTTTTATCAATGGGTGTATAGAGCATATTAAATGTTAAACAACTGAAGAAAGAAACGCTGAATGTGCAGTAATGTGTGATGATGGCATCAAAAAGTTAACAAAGTAGTATTAATAGACTTCTATACAAAATACTCAGTCATTATGTTTTATACACATTGCCAAAGCAAAATAGTTTATCTTTGTGGCGAATGAGTATTTTTTTTTTTGGAAACTGTAATAAAATACCAAAAATATTTTTTTTTTTTTGAGAAATAAAAATAATGGAATTTCTGAGACACAATGTGCCTTTAAATTACGTAATAATTAAAGGGAACTTCATGAAAAATATGTCGGTTTTAATGATCATAAATACCTTGAAATACAATCTATGCATTATTTTGCAGTATCCACAATACAAAAAACTCAATGATATTAAAAACAAAACAGTTTAACTGAATTAAAAGTATATTAGTTTAAAAAGCATCCAGGAAGTTGTGGATGTACCCCGTCCCCTCGGGCTTTATGTGTGTCAAGCTGACATGCCATTGAATAATGCAAGTAACTGAATTAAATAAAATTGAAAAGCTATCATATACATTTGTATATACATAATTGAAAAACTTGGATGCCATTTTTTCAGCCGTTTCATTTATCTCTTAGGTTTATGGCAAATTACATAAAACATTGTGGTGTGAGAAGGGGGCGTGGTACGGTGGGAGAGCTAAAAGGGAATAATCAAAGTATGGCGTTTCGTTTCCTATTTTTATATTAAAATTATGCGACAAATGCCTAACGCATGCTTTTTTAAATTAAATAAATCCACTTTAAAGGCAAACTAGACTTTATTAAATTATCACTCATATATTTTATAAACGCCCGGCCTTATATAAGTTATATATAACCTTTATCAAAGTACAACCACGGATTTATATTACATGCATATTATATTGTAATATAAATCCGTGGTATAACGCACAATTCCAGTACAGTTACATGTACTACATCGTTAAGAAATCTTTTGATTTTAATTTGGTTCATTATTTTCTAGGCCTATATCAATTCACCTATGTGCGTTTTGTTTTCTCTTTTTATGAATAGAATTTATAAGATTGTTGAAATCAAAGACATAAAATACATTGGTTTAGTAGTTCATTGGTTTAAAATACTTGTAAGATAATTTGTTAACAATAACGTTTAATCGATCCTCGGACTTAAATTACATGTAATTTTATGTAATTATACCTCTGGCATAGTTGAACTATGTTACAGTATAGACATATCTATACGTTTTGCGCTATATGCGCGTTGTGACAGCGACGGATAGATATATTCGCCATTGTATTACATTTTTAAACTTCCGGTATTTTGACCAATGATATTGTAGAATTTTAGAAGTAACCAATCAAAACAAATTGATTTTTTAAACACCTGCGAAGATTCCGAGTGAAGGAGAAATCTAGAATTTTAAACGCTTTTCTTCTCGTTAGATATTTCCACAATGTCTGCGAAAAATATTTACTATTCTGACAAATATACAGACGAAGCCTACGAATACAGGTATTTTATCCGCACAGAAAAAAGCATGTGTTTCATCTTTGGTTGTGCCTTCGGCATGTTTTCAAGCTTTGTGTCTGGACGAGTTGATTAATAAATATGCTGTCTAGTCTAGTATGTTTGATCATTAGTTTGTTCTAACTAATCACTGATGATGACCGATAAAAGCTCGTAGTGAATCAGCTACAAACTCCTGATTCGTAGGTCCTGTGTTCAAAATCGGTAAAGGTTAACTCCAGCAGTGTCCAGTAAATTATGCACAAGTCACTGAATGACTGATTAAGCTGAATCAGCCAGGCTTTAAAACATTCAGTCCCAATAAAATCTTCCATGGCCTTTTAGTCTACACGAATTTGGCCTTACTCGGAGTTTATTTAGGAAAAATTATGGCAAAAATTGCTATATTTGAAAGTAAGAACACGCTGTAAGGAGGCGGAAATTCATGTCGTTTAGTTTCCAATTTGGACAAGTGGATTTCTAATTTACTAATAATTAATACGGCAAGTAAGAAATCTTCAAGTACATCAACGAAACATGTAAGTACAAAAGAAATACTATTCCTTGTCATCATACCTTACTGTGGTGGCTGATTTGGAATGTTGGCACCAGCGACAACAGGACAAAGCGCCAAACAGCACGTTGTCGGACTTGCGTCTTCCAGGCTTAGCGAAACTGCTGAAAAACTTTCGATTCTTGTCTGACCGAAAGAACTTTTGTCTGACAGAATTTTTTTTCCAAATATCTATGTATATGGTAATAGTATATTTATACCTTTGTGTTTTTTTTTAAAGACATAGCAACTTTTAAAGATTTGCAACACAATTTTATTCTCTTAAATAAAACATCAGTTTATCCAGATTGATGGACTCTGTCTGAAAATCGAAACATTCATGATCAAAATCATCATTATCATAATCAGAGTCCTTATCACACAGCATGTCAATAGAGTAAGTGCCATCGTAATAATGCAGTAACACCGACATTTTCTTCCGAGTACAAGGTCGTTGAAAGTGGAATGTATCTAGAATTTGATTGGACACTTATATCAAAACTCGTTTTACATTTTTTTTATTCAAGGGGGAAACTCGGTCTTGATCGGTATTGGATATATCCCGGTATACATACCAGGCATAAGGTCCGGAACTCAGAAAAAATATCGGACCGGGCTGATTTTTGCCGGCATGTCCCACGGTCCGGCAACTTTCGCGAAGCCTGGTCTTCTCATTCTGTCCCTAACGATGTCACATTGTCACTTGGTTCAAATCGAAGGATTGGCTTATAAGCCAAGCGACCGAGTGACATCACAACAATGGTCCGTTTGGCGTCCTTTGCTAGTAACAAGACGACAGCATGACAACTTGCCGTTTGTCGTGTTGTCCCTAGGGACAAGACGATGATGATAATGATATAGGGTGCGTTGTTGCTATCAACAACATAACACGCAATGTACCAAATCAGCCACCATACCTTACAGACCTCTGAAAATTAAATCTAGTGTTCAAACTAGGGCTGTCATTGAATATCGCGATATCGATATATCATCGATATTCATCATCCGATACAACATCGATACACACTTTCACATATCGATACAAGCTAAAAAAAAATTATTTCTGGTAGTTAATATACCTCTCTATTTTGGCTTATAAGAGAAGTCACTTATTTCTAGCTTTCTTGGCTAACTTGAACTTTAAACTCCATTTCAAATGTCAGTGAAAAAAACAAACTCTGTAGTATTTGTAAAGTGTAATTGTAAAGTGTAATACAAGCATGCATAACACCATGATCCCAAATTATAACACATATATAAATGTTTTTCATTGAATCTACTGTCAAAGTCGATATATAGATGTATCGTCGATATAATTTGTCTATCGATATATCAATACAAAAGTTTCCATCAATGACAGCCCTAGTTCAAACTAGGCAAGAAAAGGCAGAAAAAGTCATTTTTACCTCCAAAAATAAGTTGTGTGATATTTTTACAAGGCATGATGATGAAGAAATTAGTTTTGAATTATATCAAATTTCAATATTATAAATTGTGAATCAATATTGTATTGATTGCAGACTTCCCGAAATACGTCGGTCCGACGGACATGTCCGATAAATTTTGATCAGGTCCGACAATTTTTTATTCCGGATCGGTCCGACTGTCCGGCTTTTATCCAAGCCGCATGTATACAAAATGGCGTCGCTAAAGGTGCCAAACCTTGGAAAAACCGAAAACCTACGTCAGAAGAGTGCACAGAAAAGCAATAAAATGATGAAAATATTAGACCTGAGACAAAATTTAATGAAAAATGAAAGCAGAACCATGAATCATTGGTGTATGACAGGGACGAGATGAAAATGCGATGTACGGATTGTGCCGATTTTTACGGCGAAAAAGTAAAAAACAAAAAGTGTCTTAGAAATACAAACACAAGTTTTTCTTTGATTTTGATCAATTTTATTTGGTCCGACAGATTTTATTTCGGTCCGACAGATTTTCATGGTTTGTCAGACCGAATGTCTGACAGTTTTTTTCAACTTTCAGGAAGTCTGTGATTGTTGTATAATGATGATATATCTATAAGGCGATCCAAAATTAATTGACATGTTAGTTTAAATATGTTTATTTTCTACATCTACATTGTACGTCGGCGCAATCACACTTGATTATGACGCGACGGGTGGTGCTAGGTCAAGAAAAAGAAATATACAAGAAATGATAGAAAGTAAGAAGAGGTTGGATAGTACAAAGATAGAGATATAGACAAAAGTATGGCCAGCTATATTTCGCCTCTTTAACCCAACCTCTCCGGTTACGGTGGCCGCTGCCGGCACAGCCTTGGGATATCACTAGTGGGTACTTGTAGCTGGGCCCCTAAGGCGACTTAGAATGTGAGGGCTGATAGCCCCTGCTTGAAGGATACCAAGTCAGGAGCCTCTGCAACGGAGGCAGGTAAGCTGTTCCATATCGTGGCTGTAACGAGGGAAGAAGGAGTTCTTGTAGTACGATGTAGATGTGATGGTAGATTGAACTTCTTGGAGTGGTCACTTCTAGTGCGGCTCGGGGCAGGGGTGAGATAATCGCTGACTGGTATGTTCCCACAAGGTCATTGGTGATCTTGAACATCATGGTCAGCTGGGCTTGTCCGTCGTGACTCTAATGTCTCCCACTCCAAGTGTTGGATCATTGAGGATACGCTGCTTGTGTTGTGGTACGGTTCGTCACATTATCTTGCAGCTCTCCTCTGGACCATCTCGAGCTTGCGTGTAAGGTCCTTGGTATAAGGGTTCCAGATGGTGGAGCAATATTCAAGGCCTGGTCGCACAGTGACATGTAGGCTGCGCTCTTGACCCTGTTCATCAAGTGCTGATGGCGCCTCATATAACTGTTGTGTCGAAGGAGCCGAGTGTGCTGATTGCCCTTCTTGATGGCACGATCTTGTCCAACACACTGTTGATTGCCAGGAGAGGTTTCCAGACATATGGAGCTCAAGCAGAGGACTTGGTGGGACGCGGTCGAAGGCTTTGCTGAAGTCCAGCACAGCGAGGTCATGTTGTTTACGCCTGTCCATGGACTTGATGAGCTCGTCTGTCAGCGTTAGTAGCTGGGTTTCGCAGCTCCGCCTTCTTCTAAATCCATGCTGGCTGTCGGTGACAATATTTTAATTGTCAATATGGAAGGCATTCAATTTGAATTGTTATGATTTATAAATAATCATATATTTTATATAATTAATAATTTGACAAAAGAGTAACATGCACAGGTTTACTATTAAATAACTATTTTGCATTGTAGTGCATGTGGTGTTTCTGTTGTTGTTGTTTGTTTTGTTTTTTCAGACAAGAAATATTAAAGATGATTTATATTTCCTAATTTCATTTCAGACATGTGATGCTTCCTAAAGATATAGCAAAGCTGGTCCCAAAGACTCATCTGATGTCCGAATCTGAATGGAGAGATATTGGTGTACAGCAAAGTCATGGATGGATACACTACATGAAACATGATCCAGGTTAGCTTAATTCATTAATTCTTTAAGCATAACAAGGCTTCCATAAGTGGAACTTGCAGGGCTTCCATTAAGTTGCTATTGAAGTCAGGGACTGCAATCTCTTGATATTGGAAGTCACATTTTATAGGTAAAGAAGGAAAAGTATTAGATTTTAGAAGTCACAACAGGCATCAAAAAATATTTTCAAAGTCACTCGTCCTGCAGGACGAGTAGTTTCTAAATCCAATGTGCAGGCAACATTTTTCTACTCGTCCTGCATTAAGTTCTCTTAAATTCTACTCATAATTACGAGCAGACAAGTGGAATTTTCGATTTCTGCACAAGCCAAAATCAAGAAGGAGCTTCCATTGAAGGAGCCCTGCTGGAAGTTTGGGAGTCATTTACCCCTGATTTAGGCTTGTGACTTCCAAAATATAATCCTTTCCTTCTTTACCTATATAATGTGACTTCCAGTGTCCCTGACTTCCAAACTTTGGAACTTAATGGAAGCCCTGCATAAGCTACCCTTACCTTGCTTGTGGTAACAGATTGTACCAGCGTTACCAGTACAGACCAACCAGCATTTCCATCTGATCATGGTCTCTGTTATTTAGTCAATTTAATTTTGAAATTTTTTCTTAAACTGATGGAAGAGTTTAGTCTTGATCAACATGTCCATTTCACTTTTTATACACCCGTTTAAAAAATGGGTGGTACTATAGTTTTCCCCTCTGGCGGGCAGGGGTTCAGGTAGTATTTTGACTTCCATACAAAATACTATATCACTACGATTGTACTAGTCGCCTAAAAGCAACAGAAGAAAAAGATGGTTCAGGTAATTATTAGTCAATGAGAAACTATCAATGTACATGTACACTGAAAATTAAAAAAAACTTCTGTGAAATAAAAGCATTTTAGGGTCATAATGGACCTTCAAAAAATATGTACTGGTATACTTTCATGCATTCATGGCATTGTTTATTATAATATATGTCTAATATCATTGTTTCTCTTTTCTTCAGAGCCACATATTTTACTATTCCGACGTCCTTTACCTCAGTGCCAGCAATAAAAGTCATAAAAACATTTTATATACTCTCTGATTCCAAGAGCAAGTTGTGATTTTAAAGTTTCCATCCAGTATACAGAATCTTATCCCGCATATGTCATAATATTATTGTGTATAATATTATTGTGTATTTAATATGTGTGTGTATGTGTTTTGGAAGATACGATTCAGGACTTGGCACAAGATCAAATATTTTGTTGAATCACATGCAATCGGAAATATTTCACCTTTGCATGAAGTGATAATGGTTTTCAATGTTGAATCAGCAAGACAGTGTCATTAAATCTGTGTTTAATAGTTAGTGTTGGAATAAATATGTTTGGAAAGATACATGGAGATCATGTTCAAAATCTGGCAAATAGAGCTTCAATATAGATATAGATGACTTGAAATTGGATTGGTTACAGTAATAATGAGTAAACAGCAGCATCCAATCAGAATGCATGACACATTGGTTACAGTAAACAGCAACATCCAATCAGAATCCAAGACAAATTAGTTACAGTAAACAGAAACATCCAATCAGAATCCAAGACACATTGGTTACTGTAAACAGCAACATCCAATCAGAATGCATGACACATTTTTCACATTTGACATCCTACAGGGATACAATATTCAGTGCCTTTATATATATTTTATTGCATATGTTTAGTCATTCAAAGATGAAATATTTCTGATAATTATTATTTTAATGATTGTTTTTTTCTTTTCTTTTTTTTTCTTAATAAAAAAGAGATGACTACATTAACTGTAATCAAGAATGCATTTATTTTTATTATGAAACTTTTTTAAGTCACCAGATTAATTAAATTTTCAATAAAATGAATTTTGTAGTCACTGCTTCAATATAGCTTTGATTTGTTTACATGCAATTGTTTTTTTAAATGTGGTCAACTTAAGCGAGTTTTTTTTTTATTTTTCCAAAGAGTTTTTTCTCCAAACTTTATATTGCTTGTAAAGTCATAAAATGTGCATAAGTGTGACAAAACCAAAAGTATTGTAGCATATATGAAACTATGCTTGAATTAAGATGTGCAGGTCTAGTCTTTTAGCTAGTATCATTCATTCCATAAGTATTCTTATTTTGACAGGGATCACTGTTTTCTAAATGAACACTGTTTATCAGGAATAATGTGAATAGACAGTGCTCTTATGCAATAGAAATATTGAAAAAAAATTACGCCAGTTTTCTATTTTTCGTTTAAAACCATACTACATGTATTTACTTGAGGTTTTGATTTATTTAGTATAACCGCATGACAATATAATGTACTCATCAAAAATCTCAAAATTTATATTTTGTATAGTGTTATAAAGTATAGATTCAGTCATTTTGTTTTTCTGTGTACAGTATATTTTAAGCCATGCAAGTTATTCATTCTATACATCAAAATAAGAGGAAAATGGTGAAGTACAACATGTATGTCAACTCGAGAGCTGGTTGGGGTTATTTATTCTCTACCGGTTTTCGGTTCTATAGAACCTACATCAATCTATTCTTGTATATTTAGTTAGGCTTATAATATTGTTGAGTGTTGTTTGTCCATAAAGAATTCTTCTACGATTATCAAAATTTACATAATTTAGTGCTAAACTTGTTTAGGAATAATTGGTTTATATTTTTATAAACTTAATTGTAATGTCTGTATATAAATTGAAATTGATGTTCTTAAAGCTCTAAGAATTATCCATGTAACCTATGAGAATGCAGGAACAGAAATTTTTGAGTGTCGACAATATGCCTTCACAATATACACCAGCTCATTATGCAGTTATATTCAGTTTGTTACTAGGTGTTTTACTGTCAGATGACAATCTTCTAAAGTTTCCTGTGTGATAATTTGGGTTGTCATTTACACTCATAGAATCAACCACTTGTCCCTCACCGCTGTGGGTTCGAATCCCGACAGGGACTTTGGATTCTTTCATGTGAGGAAGCTATCCAGCTAGTTTACGGGACGTCGGTGGTTCTACTCAGGTGCCCTTTCGTGCCTCGTGCCTGAAATAATGCACAGAGGGGCACCTGAGGTCTTCCTCCACCAGTAAAGCTGGAATGTCGCGATATGACCTATACTGTGTCGATGTGACGTAAAACCCAAAACAAACAAAATACCCATAAAATCAGAAAGGGTCATATTTCTATAAAGATGCTAGTTGGATAAGTCCATTATGCAAATTCAGGGCATTAAAGACGCATTATGCCTCAGAAATGAATACTTTTTTCCTTTGGAAAGGGCAAACATGAGTTTTATAATGATTAAATAATCGTTTTAGAGCATGTTATTTGCTTATTACTCAAAGTAAATAGCACTGAATGTTAAAATTTTTGTCATTAAAGTAGCAAAATGCAAACAAATTTGTATTTTGACTTCCATACAAAATGCTAAAACACTAACTATATTTTATCCCTGAAAACAGCAGAAGCAAAATATGATTCAGGTTAATTGGCCAATTAGTAACTGTTTGGAAACTAAAAACTGAACATCAAAATATAAATTAAAATCAAAGCATTTCTGAGGAATAATGGACGTTTGAAATGTTACTTTTTACAATTTTGAAACAATGATGATATGTAACTATTATAGTTCACTTGAAATAATATTATGTATATATATTTTTCCATTGTCAGACCAAGAGTTAAAGGGACCAATATAAAAAGTTGTGATTATATTTGTTTCGGAAGCTCTTAAAAAGTGAGAGCTTATAAATGCATTGTATCTAACATAAAAAACTATATACTTTCAATGTATATATTGTGATGTTACATGCTTATCTTGTTTTCTCCCTAAGTTTCTGTCTTCCTCGGGATTTACTCTAACTCTCTGTTCAATATTTTATGTGTGATTCTTTCATATGTAAGTAAAATGTATGTAGTAATAGGAAAATATATACTCCGTCTTACCTATTTTCTGTAATTTGTACCCATATTTTTCTCTCTTTGAGGAACATTGATTATTGTTCAATTTCTGTACATAACCACTGGACATAACCATATGTACAATTTGTTTTATTTTTTGCCAAGGGAAGCAACTTCTACAGTAGAATTTTGTTATAAACCATATAACATATAACAACTAAGAGAAAACTCAATAGAGTCAAATTGTGCTAATATTTCATTGTAAATTTAATGATTTATTTTTTAATCTCAAAAGGTATATGCTACTGTTGAGTAAATCATTTATAATCATTATTCTATCTCAGTGTCTCTGTGATACTACTGTAATAGTAAAATTGGACATTGTAAAATTTGACAAACTTCTAAGTGTTTATGTTTTCGTCAGATTTGTTTTATTAGTTATTTGAAATATTCAAGTCAGCTATTTTGATATAAATTTGTAGGTATGTCTTTTTCATAAGAAAAGATCCTTATTCAAAATGTTTTGAATTAAGTATGAATTAATTGAAATTTATCCTGAGGAAAAAGGACTGCTTGCTAAGGTGTATTGAATTTAAATGATATATCTTAGACTTTGTTAATTCTTTTGGTATAGTCGTTTCATACATCATTATGTATTAAATCATAGATGCAAGAATGGCAAATTTGTCAAAACCCCAAAGATATGTTCAGCATTTTTTATGTATTGATGATTATTACACAGAATGATGATGTCATAGATGACATCACATGTTGATTTGTGTACCACTGAGTAACTTTGTATTGTTACTTAATGGACAAAGTTTATTATTCTATTCAAATACTGTTTGTATATAAAACATTTCATTTACTTTATGTCTTGTGTTTGAATATGTGAAATAAATTTTGTTTGCATTAACTATGTAGTTATTTTATATGTTATTGTAGCAAGTCTTTGGTATCAAGCTGGTAACTTTATGGAAGGCCAGTGTTTTTTACTGGGTACATGTCTATGGCTTGAATTATATATACTACAGGGACATGTGAAGTTTCCTCATCAATAAGTCTGTATTTTTGCCTTGTAAAAAGTATACAATGAAGTCAATTACATGTAAATCATGACTGTCATAGAAAGAGAATGATGTTCAAAGAATAATGAAGATATGATTTGTTTAGGTCAGTGTAAGATCAGAATTATTTCACTGAGTGAACATTTAGTGCTCAAGGTGAAATATATTTCGATCTTACACTAAACTAAACAAATTTTCTTTTTAGCTCACCAGAACCGAAAGTTCAGGGTGAGCTATTGGTATCAAAGGGGAATACTCACGCATCTGGCGTCATGTGTCAACAATCGTCTTCTCTGAAACTACTGAGCAGATTTACATAAAATTTGGTCTGTAGTATCCTTGTGACAGTCACACTTAGACTTGCTCATGCCATTACAATTGGTCCCTTTTAGGGATCAACAGAGCTAAAAATAGAAAACCTTTAAACATCTTCTAATAAATTAAATGATGGATGATCACCAAAATGTCTGTAGCATTCTTAGGTAGTCTTGTATCAAATTTGCTCATTTTAATTTGATTGGCCCCTTTTAGGGGTCTCTAGAGACATCTTCTACAGAACTAATTGATGGATGATCACCAAACTTTGTAGCATTCATAGGTAGTCTTTTATCAAGTTTGCTCATATTAATTTGATTGGCTCCTTTCTAAAGCTAAAAGTAGAAATACCTCTAAACGTCTACTTCTACAGGACTGAATGATGGATGATCACAAAATTTTGTCCGTAGCATTCTTAGGTAGTTTTTAATCATGTTTGCACATATTACTTTGATTGGTTCCTTTTAGGGGCCGCTAAAGCTAAAAATAGAAAACCTTTGAAAACCCCTTGAACATCATCTCTTACTGAAAAAATTGATGGATGATTACCAAACTTTGTAGAGTTCTTAGGTAGTCTTTTATTAAAATTTGATTGGCCCCTTTTAAGGGTGGCTAAAGCTAAAATTAGTAAAAATAGAAAATTCTTTGAACATCATCTACTGAAATAATTGATGGATGATCACCAAACTTTGTAGCATTTTTAGGTAGTCATCAAGTTTGCTCATATTAATTTGATAGGCCCCTTTTAGGGGCCGCTAAAGCTAAAAATAGAAGTATCTTTAAACGTCTGCTTCTACAAACTAATTGATGGATGATCACCAAACTTTGTCTGTAGCAATCTTAGGTAGTCTCTTATCTTTTACTGAAAAGCAGTTGTTTCTGATGAGCGACTCTGGGCCATCATGACCCTCTTGTTATTATATGCAAAGAAACATTTAAATATACCTATTTAACCTATTTCTAAATGAAAATCTTTTACGAAATAACATCATAAAGTTGGTTTCCAGTACTGTGTGCGCTGGTATTTCACTGAAACAACGTAACGGCTTAAATTCAAAACGGTGAAAAATATCAAATTGATATTTTCACTGTTTTAAACAGTGGAATATCAGTTTTATAATTCACTGATATATTTGTATAAACCACCGAAAAGCATGTAATAAGTTTAAGTACTATTTTGTCAAGAATTGATGGATGCACAGTTTCCTGATAAATGGAATGGTGACTCAAGTTTAAATAAGGGTATTTAGGGTCTAGAACTAGGTCACACGACCCAAATACACTCTAGAGGTAATTATTTTCAACCCAAATATCCTGAAAATTTGTGAAAAAGGCTGCTTTGATCATTTCTAGGTCAAGTTTGAACATGGGTAATCTGGGATCAAATGGGTCATCAGGGGTAAAAAAAACTAGGTCACAGAGTCCAATGAAAAAGCCGTGTTAACACTAAAACACTATTTTGTAATATTTTCAGCCCAACTATCCTGGAAATTTGTCAGCAAGGTTGTTTAAATGATTCCTGGCATAAGTTTGAATATAGGTCATCTGAAATCAAAAACTAGGTGACAGCCCATATATGGAAAAGCCTTACACATGAACGTTAAAATATCCGTTTAAAATTAAGACATTTTATTTCTTTTCCATTCATTTCTAACAACATTAATTAAGAGCCTTAATAATCAGGTGAGCGATATAAGGTCATCATGACCCTCTTGTTACACTTTTGATTGGTTAAAGGCCCACCACTGCATCTCTAAAATGCTATTTTTATTTTTCAAAAGCTCTTATTGTCGTTGTCCCGTTACAGTTATTAATTAACATATCCTTAACAGGTCTGTTTGCATAACAGGGACGTTCAAAATTACAAAAAATAAAGTCAATGCATCTTTTCGGCCCTTTTCGTCAAGCTGGGATAAGAAATAAAGATCACTGGCACGGTGTCCCATAAAATTTCTTTAAGTAATCTGAACCAGTAAGGTAGATTGTAACTAATTATTGAATTTATTACTTCACAACACATTAACAAGTGACTAATTGTCTCAAAGTAGTCAAGCGTAAAGCAAGTTGTTATCTTGATACATACCGTATTTGGTTTCAAATCGAATCCATTTTCAAAAGCGTTTTAACACATTAAGTAGAATTTTATCTATAAGTGTGCAAACGGCATTACAAATGCTTTTACATAAGTGAAATATATTTTTCTTAAATAAGTCTTAAATTATGCGTTAACTTCGTAAAAGAAAACTTCATAAAAGACAGAGAAAAATTCTTTTGAGTGTAATATAAAAATTGGATATGTTTAAAAATGGGTACATTTAAAGCATTCGTTGCCATAGATTTTGGCACTTCTAACACTGGCTTCGCATTTTCATTTCCGTCAAATAAGGATAAAATATTTCTCGCAATTGAAGAGTCACCGGAAGGAAATACACCCGCGTCTGAAAATGCTGATGGTTCCACGATTCCTGATGGTGAAGTGGCACTTTCATCTATCCATGTTATCAAGCTGACAGAGAACCGGGTACCACCCGTGTTATTGTTGAATGCAGACGGAACCATAAATGCGTTTGGAAAACCGGCGGTAGACAGATATGCACAGCTCGTTCTAACTCATAGACACCAAGGATATCGCTACTTTCACAATATCAAAATGGATCTATACAAAATTGATGACTTGACACACGAGTCAGAAATTCAAGACAGTCAAGGAAGAAAGATTCTCGCTATAGAACTATTTTCAAAACTAATCCGACATATTGGTAAACTTGCTTTGAGGTCTATGCGCGAGCGACTGCCAAAAGGCGTGAGGATTATTCCTACATCGGTGAATTGGACTGTGAGCATTCCAGCAATATGGTCCGACTCGGGTAGACAGTTCATGCGCGAGGCTATTGTTGAAGCAGGTATCCCACGTGACAGAATTCGATTGGTTCGCGAACCGGAAGCAGCAGTTATCTTTTGGAAGTCAAAAATGCTCAAATCACAAGACGAAAGCGAAAGGAAGAAGTTTTCTGTTGGAAATAAGTATATCATCGCGGATCTTGGTGGAGGAACAGTCGACATTTGTGTTCATGAAATTCTTCCTGGAGAAAGATTCAGAGAACTCCATCGAGCGACCGGAAATGACGTCGGTGGAAATTCGGTTGACTTTATGTTCATTCAATTCATGAAGAAAATAGTAAGCGAAGAGGTTTGGAAATGTTTCTATTGGCCAAAATATTTTGACTTTGTTAAATTAATGAGAACATTTGAAGTGATTAAAAGAAACATTGCCCATGAAACCAAAGAAATCGTTATTGAGATTCCGTCATCACTTATTACAATCGCAGAACGTAATTCAAACCTAAAATTTTCTGATATGATAAATGCTATCGATGAACATGAATTCGTAAGTTTAGAAGGCGAGGCAACATTGCATATTAAAAAAGAAATTATTGAAAGTTTCTTTAAACCATCTATAGATGGCGTGTTGCGCATGCTCAGGGATATTGTTACAGGAACCGGAAACCAAGTGAGCAATTTATTGCTGACTGGTGGATATTCGTCATCAAACTATGTTAAAGAAAGTATCCAAAGAGAAATGAGCTCGATGGTCATTTCATCCGTACCAGAAAATGAACTGGCTGTACTCAAAGGTGCTGTTTTGATGGGTTATGAACCGGATGATATTATAGAACGAAGATCTAGGTTTACTTACGGATTTGCCGTTGCGACGCCATTTAAGGAGAAAGAACATCCGAGGAGTCTGCAATTCTTCAGAGATGGTAAAATACTTTGCAGAGATGTTTTCCAAAAAGTTATAGACAAAAATCAGCTGCTAAGAGTAGGTGACAGGTTCAGAATGGAGACCAGAAATAATGACCGGAAGTTCTTTCAGTTCAAACAACGCGACGCATGCGCGCAACTATTTCGTTCTACTGCAGACGATCCAAAATACTGCATCAAAGAGGAGGGGTGCACCGAGGTGTTCACAACTAGAATTAAAGCTCCGGTGAAGGGATGGTCGGAAAGGCTGTGTACAGATTACGTTCTTGTTGTAGGGGATACAGATTTCGAAGTTCAAGCCTATGATATATTTACTGGCGAAAAATACTCAACAAAAGAAGAAAATCGAATGATGAAGCCATTTCATTTAGCTTAGCACAAAGATGCTCTAATCACATTCATTTTGTAACATGAATTAAAGCTTAAATTACTTTTAACTTCATATATAGTCATGTATGATTTCTGGCAAGTGCTATAATAAAAGTGATTTATTTATTCTTTGAGTTTTGACTGCATCAATTACATCCAATCGGTTTTCGACTTTATCTTTATTTCGAAAGCATATGGTCGACAAGAGGTATGGTTGCGTCCGATCTTACGCAGACCTGACACCGGAGGTGACGAAGAAATCCGAATTATAATAAACTTCATATATGCATATACATGTAATTTTATGTATGCAAATTAACAACTCTAGGACATGTTAGACCGGTCTCAAACTTGAAGGTTTGCACGTTTTCCATGTATTTCCAGACATCTTGGAGACACTATACTACTATTATACGTGACGTGTTGTAAATGGTGCGCTTATAATTAACACGGGAATCTTGTAAGACTGATAAACCATTTTCAGGTTCGTTTCTATGATACAGGGTCTTTCTTCTTTGTATTATATTAGCAATCTAATGTCCAATACTTATTCATGTATCAATTCAACTTATACATAATTAGTCATAATTTATACATACTTAGTAATCAGTTCAATAAAGCATTAGCTTTCGACATTTTGTCTTCTTAAGAAAACTAAAATTGACGTTTTTTGCTTACAAAAATTATACATGTATCTAATACACGTGTTTATAAACGAGTGGCACATAAAAACAAATCATAATAACAAAATAAAATAAACAAAACGTGTATTTATTATTCTTTCGTTAAACTTCAGCTATGCTATAAGGGGACAAACAAATTCTGCGTGCCTAACGCCGAGGGAATAGCTTGGTGCCTTGGCTCTGCTTATCTCGACCTTTTCTGGGTAATGAGCCCCGGGTCCTGGCTTTTTCACGTTGTCTTGTGGCATGTAGCACCGATTCCTAAGTGAGTAGTTGGGTGCTCTGGACATGTAGACGTCGTTTTCAACTTTTTTGGTATGACCCGGTCCTGGAGCATTCGCCAGATCTTCCAAATAACATCCGATCTTTGAACGACCTTAAATGTATGAAAAATCATTCAAATAAAAACAAAAATTAACAAATTTCTTTGATTTTTGAAAGTCATTCATTTTTACATAACTCTTAAATAATCTGGTGGATTTGCGTGTTAAATGGATTTAGGACAACAATACAGATGCAAATGGTTCAAGCAATGGCTTTGTAATGGTGGCGAAAGCTAATCGCTATAGGTACAAGTGGCTTTGCGATGGTATATGACCGATCATTTTTGTTTCCTCTTTTATTGATGGGGAATAAATACATCGGCGTGTATGTCTATAGACCTTTCAGGAAAAATGCCCAAACATATCTTGCAAGTGTAATAGTAAAATGTTTATGACACTGTCCCTTTATCAGTACATGTATACATATACAGTGTATTGTAAATGATTTTGGAAAATTATGATCAATAACTAATTAAGCATAATTATTTAAATGTTGAATGATAAATATAGATAATCGAACAGGACATTTGCACTAGCAATAGAAATTATGCTATTTTAAAACAAATATGGACCTGGTATTGAATAAGATGGAGTCGAGGTCTTGCTTGGTTGTGCCGGTCCCAGCACAGTTGGCAGCATGTAGTTGCTAGGCGACGGATTATGATCCAACTTCCGGAATCTCGTCCTTAACCCGATGGAATATTTAGGGGCAATCTTTTCACCTTGAGGATGCACTTTTTCTGGGTAATAAGCCGAAGATGCCGGTGTCTTGAATTTTCCTGCTCAATAAAAAAACCCACACATTTAATTCATACAATAAAGTTAATAACAATTTCAATGATTGACTGAAATAAATATTCGTGCCAGTAGACCTGTGCATAAGGCCTATAGGTTTAACATAAGAAATTGCCGTGAATAATTAGAATTATCAAACTTTGGATGAAGAATATATTTGAGTGTACATGTATAACATTTCATCGCACCAATGAATGAAACAAAAGGAAATTAATATTTAGAGGATACAACACTGGCTGGGGCGACATCGAGGGATGTTTCATCTATAAAAATGTCGAGGCCGTTAGGCAAAGACGATTGCTCGAGATGTGGCCTAGCCAGTGTTATAGCCCCGTAACTAACTTGTTTCATATATAATAAATGTTTTATCGCTGTTTTTGTAACAGAAATCAACAAAAAATATTATGTTCAGTGCTTTTCCCTCTCTTGTGCTCTTTCCCTTTTGTTTTAAATCTTAGAAAGAAAAGAACCAATACCACCACTCTGTTTTTGCTACTATACCACGCCCCATTTCAACATCTGTAAAAAACTACATGCATAAATGTACACTGCTATAGAAGAGGTGCATAATTTTATATTAGGCACGGTTTTTTTTCTATACGAATAAATAAACTGCACTGTTATCAATACAGTTTTCAAATCCTCATTGAAAGTGTACTGAATATTATGGGTTAGTATTAAGAACAAAGAAAAAGTCCCTAGCCATGCAATAATGAAATGATATAAACAAACTTACGTAATTCTGAATGCCTGGAAAGCAAAGAATAGCTAGGTGTTCCATCTTTGCCATTACGGGTCATCTGTGGGTGTACGAAATAAGCTGGACCAGGACTGGCTTCTGCGAAAGAAAAGATTTGCTTTGATATCCAAAATAAAACTACAGTAAAGGTCAATAGTATCGCTCACTTCTCTCACCCGGCATTCTTCCCTGCTACAATTTATAAATACTATGCAAAGAAAATCGTGAAAATCGCATACACAACTTTTCGGCCCTTTTCGTTTCACTTCAAACAAGGAGTAATCGGCGAGATCATGACAAAGCACTTTTCAAGTTTTGTAGCGATGATAATCAGGCTGAAAACGATACACCCCGAGCCTAAGCAGCTATACAGCATAGTACTAGAATATAATTAATAATTAAATGTAATTATTAAATGAAGAAACAAGTACAAGAATGAAAGCTTCTTTACAACTGTGAAAATATTCTTACTTTTTTCGTCTGCATAATGAAGTCGTCTGCCAAATGAGTAGGCTGGTTCCATTCTTTTGGTAGCATCATGAGCCTCATACCCGACCGTTGATGGAAGACCATATCTGCCAGGCCCTGGCCCTAAATATAAATAGAACAAAAAAGGAATCTGAATAGCCTAAAGAGAAAAAAAGGAAAATGATATACTAGTATCTAAAATCTAAATATAGCAAGTCTCTCAAAGTTAAGTCATAATATTCCCTATCACGCTTCAAGCGAGTTAAGCATTTTATTTCTGGCCGGAACAATGGAGACTGTGCAGTCAAATAAACAAGATGGTTACAAGAAGCACGCGTGACCTCGGCGTCAGGCTTTCCTGCGTTTAGTATACCAGTATACATTTCCATACGAATTTTCGTAAAATAGCACCATTTTTGGAAGCCCACGGTGACAATTGTTTCCGAATTGGCAAGTGCAATAGCTTTGGGGGCCTCTTTACGGCATTATGAGACTCATAAAGCTCGCCCCTAGAAACCTGACCGCAAGATGCCCGAGTATATTAGAATACAGACATTTGAATTTTCGTATAAAACACCAATTTCCGGAGCTTTCATTGGTTTTCTTATCGGTTCGATTTCTTTGCAATTTACAGATTTAGACAGTGCAAAAGTTGAGGACCTCTTTGCATTAATGTAAAACGCATCGCGTGACATGGGCGGCGTTAGTAGGTGTGCCCTATTTTCGTCAAACAGCACCATTTTCAGGAGCGCACAGACAGTGACCTATAATTCGTTCTGATTTCGTTGCGAGTTAGAGACAAGGCAACACGTCAATAGCCTGGTAGGTTCCTTTTATATAAATTAAGACTCAAGCTCGTCCAAGAAACACGGTCGCCAGATACCTGTAAGTTTGAAAGAACCTGCTAATGGGAACTATCACTGGAGAGGTGGGGGGATAAATTTATACCTTTATAGCTATATAGAGGAAGTAGGCACGAATGCTAATTTTAAGGATTGAAATGATGCTGTTTTTTTAGTTTTCAACCTCATTTAGATAGCTCCAATTGGGTTACCTAAGTTTTTGCTTGAAAATATGATTAGGGTGTCAAAAGCTAGTAGAGTTAGGCTTTTTTAATAGCCATGGGTGGCCATTATTCGTTACCCTAAGCATTTTACAGTGCTACTTTGATATACCATATTTTCTCATGGTCCGAGCCTTTCAATCCCCTCTCTTTGTGCATGTCGCAATTACCCTGCCCGTTATCAGGACTGTCAACAACTGGGGAACAGCTGCCGAAGTCCTGACTTCAGAGACGATGAGGATGGTGTGCGTGAGCCCCTAGCACAGATCGATATCATATAGATCTACGGCTTGTAAGGCAGGCCCTTTATATATATATTCAACAGTCTTTATGATAGAATAGATGACACAGATCTTGATTGTGACGTAACAGACGATGAAATCATGATAAGTGTTAATTCCTTGAAAAATAATTGCGCAACAGGAGTGGATGGAATATGCATAGAAATGTTCAAAAGTACTATATATTTAACAATACCATACTTGAATAAATTATTCAACAATATACTACATACGGGACATTTCCCACCTACCTGGGCAGAAAGCATTGTTACCCCAGTACACAAGAAAGGAAATAAATCCGATCCGAATAATTACAGGGCAATTTCTGTAGGAAATAGCTTGAGTAAAATTTTTATGAAAATCCTCGCAAATCGTTTGACCAAGTGGGCAGAATTGAATAACATTATAGATGAATGCCAAGCTGGTTTTAGGAGTAATTATTCCACTATTGATAACATTTTTAATCTTCAATCTATAGTACAAAAATATATTAGTAAATCAAGAGGACGATTATATGTGTTTTACGTTGACTTTCTTAAGGCCTTTGACAATTGTGTACATTTCAAAATATGGGAAAGCTTAGAACGGAAGGGAATATCCCCTGAAGGCAGATTTCTAACGTTATTCCGGAATATTTATTCTCAACTTCGGTCATGTGTAAAAGTATCAGGACCTACGATGAACGGGCTGACTGATTTCTTTGAGTGCGCCAAAGGAACAAAACAAGGTTGTGTGACGTCATCAATCATTTTTAACCTATACATAAATGACCTTGTGAAATACTTAAATAATAAATGTCAAAATGGAATCACTATCTCACAACATACAGGAGAGCTGTATTGTTTATTATTTGCTGATGATGTCTCCAGTTTTGCCGACACGGCTATAAATCTCCAAAGACAAATAAATGAAATAAGTAATTATTGTGCTGAAACTGGGATGTGTATAAACCTTGATAAATCTAAGATAATCGTTTTCAGAAATGGCGGTCCACTAAGACAATATGAGCATTGGATGTATAATGAAAATGAAATAGAAGTTGTCAATTGTTACAAATACCTAGGAGCATACTTTACCCCGAAACTCTCATGGACTAAAACGAAAGATGTACTAGCCATACAGGCGACCAAGGCTGTTAATGTTATTTATGCTTATCAGAAACATTTTGGTTATTTTAGTGTTAATGATGCTTTCAAACTATTCGATGCTATGGTAAAACCCATTTTGACTTACTCATCAGAGATTTGGGGATATAACACATGTCGACAGATCGAAAATGTGCATATATCATTTTGCAAAAGGATAGCATGTTTAAATCAAAACGTTGCAAGTTTCTTCGCCCTTAGTGAATGCGGACGCCTTCCAATTAGTGTAACATATATGTCTAAATGTGTTAAGTACTGGCTGAAATTAACGGAAATGCCACAATATCGGTTACCAAGACAATGCTATATTATGCTTAGAAACTTAGATGAACAAGGACGAATCACATGGGCAACTCATGTTAAACGCATGTTATTTCAATTAGGCCTTGGTTACGCATGGACAGCGAACGGAGTCGGAAATGTTAATACATTCATGCAAGTATTTAGGACACGAGTCTCAGACTGCTGTAGACAAGAGATAATGTCTGACATTAATTCATCGCCTAAAGCAATTAGTTACAGAATTTATAAAACATCTATTTCTGACGAATGTTATTTGTCACTGAGTATGCCTTATAAATATAAACGCGCATTAGCAAATTTTAGATGCAGTGCCCATGACTTGAAAATTGAAACAGGAAGGCACTTAAATATTGACAGAGAATTTAGATTTTGTTCATTTTGTCTTAAACGTAATGTGTATGTTGTGGAAAATGAAGTGCATTTTTTGATTGACTGTCATCTGTACAACGACCTTAGACACAAACACTTAAACTTTTGTAATTGGAATGTGATTCTAAACAGTAATGAACGCTTTAATACTATAATGTCAGAAACAGCGAAAGACAATATTAGAAAACTGGCAAAATTTATCTATGAAGCAAATAGTTTAAGAAAACTTCAAATAACTGAACACATTTAAACATATATATTGTAATGTTTTTAATTTATTTATGTGCCATGAATTTGTTGAAACGACTGTTTCTCTATGTAACCAATTACCTTTATGTTTAAATATTATATATAAATTAATAGTTACCTCTTCAACACTGATATTAATCATATTGGCATTTGTACATTATATGTTTAATTAATATTACCTTTATTTCAACTTAAATATTCAATTACCATTAAACTAATTACTTGTAAATATACTCATAACTATGTCTATTATATATATTTATATCTCACTCTTTGTTAAATTAAAATTCTGAATGTATTTTGGGCTGAAGGCCTTATATTACTAATAAACTCATTGTCATTGTCATTTGCTTGGCACCAACAGCCCTTTTAAGAGCTATCTCGCTATCTCCTTTCATAGTTGTATCAAATCACTACATACATTGCCAGCCGTCCTACAGCTCAAAATTCATATCATGGGAAGTAAATTATCACCACTTTGTGCCTCAAAATTAGATCTACCTCTTTAAGGGCATGACTGGTGACATGTCCGGGGTCCGTACTCGTCAGCAGATGCTGCTTGTTATGCCTCAACGGGCGGACATGGACCCTTTATTAAACAGAGACCTGTGTCCCTACATACAGATAATCCGAGCTTTCTATGTTGAAGCTCTCTGATTTACTGTTCAGTAATTATAAACGGTTAGATCTTAGGCTACCTAACACAATGGTCAAATGCAAAATCGAATAACTAAATAACCTTTACCTCTTACTCTCCCTTCAATCGGTCTATATTTAGACTTCGGTTGCATTTAAAACAAAAACAAAATTTGAAAGCTGGCGGGAATTTAACTATTCCACATCACGTGTTACCAAGGTATTCATTCGGTGATGTTTTGCGGTTATCAATTCACAACGAAGTCACGCGAAATCTCGTTAGACCTGCGAGTTCAAAACACTTCCTATTTTGCCAAGTTTCACTTTATATTCTGTGAATTTTATTGCATTTTAACAGGTATTTCTCAAAGAAATGGAGCGTTTTGTAGTGCATATATTTTAGATTCGTCATTACAGTAGAAACTTTGCGTGTCATTCGTGCATTATTTGTAAAACGACCAATCTTTTCCAACGATAGCGACATGATCATCTGACCAGTTGGTGGGTGGGGTAGACACTCTTAGACATTTACCAGTTTACAGGGATTTATAAAGTGCAGTATTAATAATCGATAAGTGGAGATCGCACCAAGTCTGATTAAACTTAGTTTGTAGGATGTAGTTATGTTGGAGACTTACTTAAAGTTATGAGATAGTTAATGATGGAAATAATAGATTGCACTATTTGCGCAATTGTGTGTGTTTTTTTGCCATGTTTGAGCAGAGATGTAGATAATTTATTTTGAATTATAGAGTAGACTTCAATTCACATTTATGGTGTCAAGACATCAATCATGTAAATTCGACTTGCATAGGAAGCTTTAAGCATGTAGACACATTGTTGAACAGGCTAGTGAAAATTCCCGATCGGGCTTGTGACAAAAAATAATATTTATATTTATAATGTATAATATCAACAGAAAGAAAAATAATAGGTTACTGTCACTTTTGTGAGAATTATTTCCCCTTTTTCATGTTTATATGACACATAATTTTTGAAGTCCTTAAAAAATATGTTGCAATGTAAAATTCTTAACAGAAATGTGTCCAACATCTTTATTTTGCTCAAAATTATTGCGCCAGTACCTCTTTTCTATATATTTTTAATTTAATATTCTGTTTCTTGCATAAATACTTTGATGATTCTTTGACACTGAACATTATTCTTTGAAGTTTCCTTTGAAAACTAAGTGAAATGTATGCTGACAGGTGTTGGTGCAATGATTTGGATCATAAATAAGTTAACCCATTTTGTTTTATACTTTGTATATGATAATATATAATATATATTTTTAAGGACTTTGAAATATATGTTATGTAAAGATGAAAAAGGGGAAATAATTCTCACAAAATTGACATTCACCAAATATTTTTCTTTCTGATTATGTTATACATTATGTTCAATAAACAAACAAAGTTTAAAAGAAATCTCTTCATTATTTTTCTAGAAATATCAGGGTTTTACGGGACGGAATATTCTGCGTCCCTATACGCATAAATTTTGACATGTACGCATGTAAGTTATCCACTTGCGTCCAAGTGTACGCACAAAAATAATCCTAGACAGTAGATATTATTGTTTCTGACCAGACATGATTTTATCTGCTTTCTTCTCGAAGCTCACAAAATTCCAGTTAAAACATAATACAGCGAGCAGAAAATGCTTGCATTTGTTTATTTTGGAAGTTAACATAATTGAAATCTACTGCGCATGCTATTGGCATTATAAGTGCCCACTGCAGAAACTGATGACATTTACAGTGCAAGCTACAGTTACTGATGACGTTTACCGTAAAATCTATTTTAGTTAGCTGTTTTTGGTTTTTCTGTGGCTATATTTAGACGGACTATTTATAACAGGCAATTACTGTTGGTTAGCGTATCCAATGTCGACGAATGTATTTTGTACAGGAACGGCGATAATAAAAAAGGCAGTGTTTTTTTGCAAACTTATTTTCATAGTGTTATAGAAATTAAGTCACTGGGTATGTAATTATCGGTGGTGTTATGAATATAATGGTTTTGGCGAACTTAACTTATGAGGAGGTGCAAAAGTCGTTTTGTCAGCCTTGTGTTATATGATATTTTTTAAAAACACAACATATTTGGCTGACTGGTCTGTAAAGACATTAAATGTGAGCTAAACTATTTACAAATAGATCAGTACAATTTTCAGTCTGTTGGTGTAATCACCTTATCAATAACAAAATATGCTACTTAAACTTGACACTCCAGCCACTGAAAGACTAAGCCTTGGAAATAGCACATGATATTATTGTAAAGGGGCTATAATTAAAACCTAGTGATAACAGATATTGAAATTACATACTACTTATGAGAACAGTACAATATACATGCATATTTCTTACAGGGCAAATAAATGATTTTAAGCAAAATTGAGTGGTTTCATAGCCTTTTTAGTGAATATAATTTTGGACCCCTAAAATTTAGGTCATGGACCCCTACTTTCGCAGGCTGTGCATCCACTGGACCCCTAAAATTTCAAAGAGATGTAAAACCCTGAAATATGATTTTTTATGTCATTAGCCCGATCGGAAATTTTCACCAGCCTGTTGACTACGTTCTATGTAACACCTAGTACTGAGTAATGAATGTATGGTTTCTTGATTAAGGAAACCAGTGCTTGTCCCTGACCGGTTTGAACCCACACAGCTAGAAATCCTAACAATTCTTCCGAAGCATGATTTAAGTATTGTCAGTCTTCAAGGTTTTGTAGGCTAACTAGACTTTTAAAAACCTGGTTGCAGACCAATCAGTAATCTTGCCAAGTGCCTCAAGTTGGATATGAGTAATAATAGTACCTGTTTTGAGTTATATAATATTTCTTATATTTCTACCTGAGTAGAACCACCAACGTTTCGTAAGCTAGCTGGATAGCTTCCTCACATGAAAGAATCTAAAGTCCCTGTGGGATTTCGAACTCACAGCGGCGAGGGGCAAGTGGTTTCAAGTCAACAGCCATAACCACTCAGCCACAGACGCCACATTGCCCAATTCATGCACCTGCATGATCAAAGGCCTAGTAAGCCTATAAAACCTTGAAGACTGACAACACAGTTTTTTACACTTAAATCATGCTCTGGAAGTATTGTTAGGTCAAAGGATTTTGTTGGTGGCATTTCAAAATGACCTGTTGTGGATTGTTCCATAGTAATATATTCTTTTTTATTGCAGGTAATATCAATAAAGATGCAGATATGAAAATGATCAAACTATAAGCATGGGAGAAATACAAAATTCACAGGAATACCAAAGCTTTAGAAGCTCTGTGCCACAGAAAAAGGTAGATGTTGTAATTTGTTTATCCATTATAGACAATATTTTTAAAATATTCTTTAAGAAGTCAGTTTCTATTTTGTATTTTTTTTAACCAAATATTTTAAATCATGTAATTTTCTTTGCAGGGTTTTTTCACAGCAGCCCTGCCCTAAATTTGGGGTATATTTGCAAAAGGGGAAGAAAAAAACTTTATGTAAATTCAATTATTTGGAAAACTGCATGATTTTAAAGAATTTTTTTTGGGGGGAAAACAGCCCCTGCTGTAGAAGGAAAGTAAGCCGTGCTTGGATTTGTGTTAAAGATTTATCATGCTCTGGAATTTTGTAGTTTAATTATTCCTTTTCATCACGATTCTTCTATAGTTTTTAACATTTTTACGTGATTTGGAATGAAATAAAAATATATTTTCTCTTACGACAGGAAACAATAAATTCATTATTGAACCTACGCTCATTCATTATCCTCTATTTATATCACAGCTTGTGGTAGATGATGATGATAAGAAAGAATGGACGATGTATGACACAGGGCCGAGACATATAAAATGTCCGTTAATTTGTTTACCTCCGGCTAGCGGAAAAGCGGAAGTGTTTTTTAAACAGTTACTGCAGCTGTCGACAGCAGGATTCAGAGTCATAGCAGTAAGCTTTTTGTCTTTTAGATGTACCTGATTTTTACTTTTGTCCTTCGGCTTGAATTTATTTATATCACAACACTCATAGTAGTAAGACTCACAGTCAAAATTTTGTGAGCTTTTCGAGGTTGTATTTATCTTTATTCTACAATATAAATCAGGGAGTTCTTTTCTTCGATCAAAATAAAAAGCAATATATGAATTTGCAATGGTATTTAGATACATTTATGATATACATGTAAACATAATTGTCCAATGAAAACGAATTTTACAAAATGTGCAATATTATTATAAGAATGATTATGCATGAGAACAAATTTGAGAACAAATTTTCTGTAAAAAAATGCCAAAAACACATAGAAATAGTATGTTAAGTTTAAAACATTTGTATATTAATCAGAATATACATATCAGACTCAAGCAATATGTGTTAAATATATTACCATACAATATGTGTAAATATCTTATCATACAATATGTGTAAATATCTGATCATACAATATGTGTAAATATCTTATCATACAATATGTGTAAATATCTTATCATACAATATGTGTAAATATCTTATTGTACAATAAGTGTAAATATCTTATCGTACAATTTGTGTAAATATCTTATCATACAATTTGTGTAAATATCTTATCATACAATATGTGTAAATATCTAATTTTACAATATGTGTAAATATCTTATTGTACAATATGTGGAAATATCTTACATATGCTACTTTGCAGGTGGAATATCCAATTTATTGGACAATGAAGGAGTTCTGTGAGGGCTTTAAGAGATTGTTAGATCATTTACAGTTAGATAAGGTGAGCTTCTATAAATCTATAAATAGATTCATAGTGGGATATATGAAATAATTCAGTTTGTATGAGAAAATTGTTTAGTCTGATAATATGCACAGTCTGATAGTTTCAAACAGGGAGATCTTTTCCCCCTAACTTGCTGAATGCAATGCAATGGACTAGACTCCACTAGTTCTGCTTTGAAATTGGCAATGTCCATAGAATAGTGTTCTGATATCAAACTTCTAAAAATTAAGCAGGAGATAGTATAGATCATTCTGTACAGAATGTGAAGGTTGACTGTGCTCTATGCTAGTGACATCTGGGGGTTGTTTTATTTTCATCGGCATGGGCGCTCAGAAAAAAACACCCAAAGAAAAACATCCCAAAACAAAAAAAAATACTAGAAAACACAACAAAAATAAATTAAATTGTTGGTTTCTGAAGTGTTTTTTTTTTTGCATTATGAACGTGAAATGCATTTAATTACCAATAGACATTTTCAAATTTAACCTTTTCCCTTATATAAGCGTGTTTCGAAGGCTTTTTGCCCCCCCCCCCTTTTTGAGGCCTCAAACAGTGAAAAAATGTCCTATTTAGACCCCAAACACTTTTTTTCGTTTGAGATATATTGTTAAAAAAGTGACCATTTTTTCGGCGCCGTCCCCCATCCAAATAATACATCAGGGGGTTGCCAGAAGGGGGATGTGCCCCCTTCTGTTTGGGGGGTTTGAAGGGGGGCGGAGTCCCCCTCATCGCCAAGAAAATTTTGGACTTGTGAGAGGCTTAAAATGACCCCAGGTTGATCATAAAGTAACGTGTAACCAACGCTGAAAAGCCTTTGACTCTATCTCAATCCATTGAGAAGTTGCAGCACTTTGAAATAAATTTTGATGGAAAAAATCGAGGCAAAATAGTGATTTTTGGCAATTTTGAGATGTCCCCTTGTTGCCATGGTAACAGGAAATTTAAGACTGAGCATGTCGTTACAAAGGCAATGGTCCAGTCAACATTTGTGCCAAGTTTGATTAGTATTGAAGCATTTTTCATAGTTTCATAGCAGTTTGAACTTGTAAGAGGAGGCTTTTCAGTTAAAATGGCCATTTTTCACGATATGCTCATGGGGGAAAGGGTTAAAGCAAAACATGTCCATGGGAAGGCAAATGGTTAAAAGGTCATCAGCCAGTATTACTGCTAAAATTAATATGACTAAAATAATTTGATGTAGACTTGAGTATAAGTGACAGGTAATTACTGTTAATTAGCGGGATAATTGATTACTAGTATTGTTGTAACAATGACAGTAATAGTAAAATCATACACCTGCACATTAATAATAGGTAAAATAAGGCCAATAATATACTATAGTGGTGTATAGTTTCATTGTCCTATTCACATGAAGTAAGTGTGATTGAGTTACTGGTAGGCAAGAGTTATTTATTATAGGAAGTAATGAATAGATCGTCATCTTAATGCAATAACTAGTTAACTCCTATTAAATTTAGGAGGACTTAACCCTTTATTGCACTAAGGTGACAAAATGTTTTTGAACCCTTAGCCGGGTATGATTAAATCATCAATTGAGACCACTGTCTGATCATGGTCTGCACTGTTTGCTATTCAGTCAGTACTTATTTGGAAAATTTTCCCAGAAAATAATGAATGGATTTGTCCAGATTGGCAAGTCCATATATGATTTAAAATATTTAGTATAGTAAGAATTGGAAACACAGTAAGTTCAAGACTAATGAATACGAATTGAAACAGACTTTTGACTGTATGCATATTACCATATTTAGTTTAGTTTAATTTGATATTATTTTGTGATAGGTTCATTTATTTGGTGCTTCTCTTGGAGGATTTTTGGCACAGAAGTTTGCAGAATACACCCACAAGTCACCTAGAGTAGCTTCCCTTATTTTGTGCAATTCTTTCTATGAAACAAGCATTTTTCAACAGACAAATTCTGCTCCAACGTAAGTATATAAATCTATGGATTTATGTAAATTTTAGGTAAATTTTGTTAAATGTTTAAATGGTATAACACAATGTTTAATAAAATATTTTTATAAAATTTATAAACTGTAAAATTGGGATGTTTCCGTAAAAGACTAAAATGTTGTAATATAGAAAGTCTCTGTTAATTAAGTTATTAACACACGAAAATGGTTTAATTTAACAGAGTAAGATGTTTAGGAACAAATATTATGCTACTATTTTAAGTACGCTTTTTGTGCACATGCCATTTGCTCTTCAGGAAATATATAGAGGATATTCAAGTTTTTTCTATAAATACATGATTTATTTTCATCGAGTGGTATGAAAATAAATATTTCATGAGTGGCGGTAGCCACGAGTGAAATATGATAATTTTCATGCCACAAGATGAAAATAAATCATGTATTTATAGAAAAAACTTGAATTTTCTGTTTATTACATACATTTCTCTTTTTTGACATTAAAATTTGAAAAAATTTCCCTTAAATTTTGCGTATTGGCAGAATTTAATAGAAAGTAGTCCGGCAAGACACCAGTGAAAATACGGAAAATATGTTTCACTGCAGTGAAAAATAAATTTTTACAGTGAAAATACGGAAAATGAAAATACGCATTTTATTTAATTAATATTTCTCAATATTTCATTTATAAGTATATAATAAACAAATATATTTCTTTCATACAGGTATTTTGGAAATATTCGTTTTCAAAATTTAAGCAATAACTTTGTAATCTATAGGTAGCAGATATCTAGCTTGATACACTTTAAAGCAGTTGAAATAATGAAGTCATTTAAGGAAGTGTAAGGTACAAACATTCTTCCCTATCAGGCAGGATATTCTGCTGTTTACACCTGTGCTAGAAAGACGTGTCTTACAGACAGGACCGGACAAGTCCTGTCCTTTAAATTATGTCATTCAAGGGCGTCTTTTGTGAATTAATTTAGTTTAAACGTACACGTATTTTATTCCTTTAAATTTTTACAATAAGTACAATGCAAATATATAGAAAGAAAAATATATATAAATACATTTTGAAAGAAAAAGGGTTGAACCACAAGTTCAAATAACATTAGTAAATCGGTCCGTCCCTAATTAATTAATTAATTGAATTAATTGCTTGCTTAGGTTGACAACAATTTGTCATTATGAACGAAGTTGTAAATTCATAATTTGCTACTATAAGGAAAAAGTGTTAAATGAAAATATTAGTTTTTGTAATATGTTTTATATGTAATATGCAAGAAAAAGAATGAAAGACTGGCTGTCAACACAGGCTGGAATATCTAGATGCATTTGACTGTTTAGTGGTTGTTATCGCTGTAAACAGTTACCCTCTGGTTAGATACACCGGTCTTTACCTGGAGCTGGCGTAAGATTCTTATAGTCTAGGACACTTTAAGCTCAACTATACAAAGTATATGGAGAGCTGTCTTACTCAACGCCACTTCCATTTTCAGATTTCTGATTAAAGTTTATCGTCATGGTGAATACCTATTGAACATTTGAGTTCTTTCTTGATAGTGATACAGGAATACATTTATATCAAATTTTTTTTTTTTCCAGTTATGTCTTTTCACTGCATCCAGTATTTAATTAGTCCATAGTACTGTCTCCTCTGACAGCTCTTGGAGAATTAAGGTGTATTATGTTTGAACCACTGTTATCATTTATGCAGTTAAGATATTTTGATACTGTCACACAGGTTTTGGATGATGCCAGCGTTGTTTTTAAAGAAGATGGTGATGGGGAATTTTGACAAGAGTCTAATGGACCCTGAAATAGCTGATTCTATTGATTTTATGGTAGAAAAGGTTTGTATTTGTAACACATAATCCCCCTGTTGTGCATTAAACCTTCCCTTACTGATTTTATAAAATGTCTCTGTAGTTAATGATTTTTGACATTTATTTACATGCACTTGTGACAGATCTTGGTTCGGGGCGTCCGTGGCCAAGTGGTTAAGGTTGTTGACTTCAAACCACTTGCCCGTTACCGCTTTTGGTTCGAATCCCGACAGGGACTTTGGGTTCTTACATGTGAGGAAGCTAGCTTACGGAACGTCAGTAGTTCTACTCAGGTGCCCGTTTTTGCCTGAAATAATGCACGGGAGGGCATCTGAGGTCTTCCTCCACCAGAAAAGCTGGAACGTCACTTTATGACTTATACTGTGCCGGTGTGACGTAAAACCCAATCAAAAGAAAAAGATCTTGGTTCAGATTATGTTTAAAGAAAAGAATTTGCCTAGTATTTGTTGAACAATTACATGCATATACCTGGGTGGAAATAACGTTTGGTTGAGTTGGTTATGGTTTCTATCCAAAAACCCAGGGATCATGGGTTTTGAGCCCTGCCTAGGATATACAATGTAGGTGATTTTGTTTCCCCGAGTTGACACCAATACTGGTAAGTTATAGGAAACAAACTTGAGAAGAGTGGTTCAAAAAAGCTTTCACACAATATTGAAGATTGTCCAGATTGAAAAATGGACAGATCTAGACTTGTAGCAAACAAACATTATTTGCTGATTTGGATTTAAAAGTGTAAAAAATGCACATTTTCTGTTTGTTACAGTTGGACAGTTTAACGCAGCAAGAGTTGGCATCTCGTTTAACCTTGAATTGTATGAATTGTTATGTTGAACCACAGAAACTTTCAGGAGTAGAAGTTACGATAATGGATGTAAGTATGAATGTTATCTTAGTCTTACTGTCCGTTTTAAATTTACCTCAATTTGTTTCAATTTTTCATGAACAATATATTGAGTCTTCTACTGTAGGTCATTGGGTGGTAATTGTTACCCCTGATTTCTTAAATGTCACTAGAGGCCTTGAATTTAACCTTTAACTTAGATATCTAGGTATTTTAATGTTGGTACTTCAGTCAGCTTTATGGATAATTAACTTGAACAAACATTTCTCTGTAGCATGCCTTGAACCAACATTTGCAATGTGCAAGTGTGTGTTGCAGGCTTTGAACCAACTGGCAAATGGAAACTGTCTGTAACAGGCTTTGAACCAACAGGTCCATTACTGTCCTTGGTGGACTTGAAACATGACTTTCTGAAGCAGGCTTTGGCAATCAACATTGGCAAGTGTCTGTGACAAGCATGTTTTAAACTAACAGTTGCAAGGAATGACAGCCAGTGGCAGGCTTTCGGCCAAAATTTGTTCCCTGTGTGGCCTTGTAAATAACAGTACACTTGTCATTAAGCCAATGGTTTGAATGAAAATATATAAACAAAATAGCCAAAGTTTTTTTATTTTGTAGATCATGCAGTGATATATCTGTCTATAATTAGATATCTGTCTATATTTAGGTATTTGATGACTGTGCCCTGTCACAGGAAGTAAGGGAAGAGATGTACAAATGTTATCCCAATGCTAAACGTGCTCATCTTAAACATGGCGGAAATTTCCCGTACCTTAGTAAAAGTTTGGAAGTTAACATATTCATACAGGTATTATATGGTATTCATTGTTATAAAGATTTTTGACAAGTTATATGATGTAATAAATGTCAGGTGATCATCAGGTATGGCGGAATTTCTTCTTGACAGTTGATCTTAGACATTGAGTCCAATGGTTTGATTCAGTAATTATGTGTGATTAGAACTTGGTCACTTTTGGAGGATTGGTTATGATTGGTTAGTTTTCAAGGCAAGCAGGTTAGGTATACCGACCCTAGAGTTATGATCAAAGATATGATACCAAACAGTTTGAGTGAGATCATATTATAATTCTGTTTAAAAACTATAGTGATTTATAGAATCTCCTTTCTGTACTATACAAAGAAATATATAGCAAAGACAAATGCACAACAGAACAAGAATTTCAAGATTTCACCCTAATGTTAAACTAATAAGTGTCATTTGGCGCAAGTGTAAATGCCTGATAAACAAAAACCCCTATAAATATGATGTAGCTTTCTGCTTAAGGAGTTTAGTAGGTCAAAAAGCCAAAAAACATAAAATTTGAAATTCTTACATAGATCAAGCAAAACACTTTAAATGGATAGGTCTGGAAAGGAAAATTAAGAAATATGTAAGGAAAATTAAGAAATATGCTCAGAATTTAATTGAAAATTGATTTATTGTGTGATTATAAAACTAATTCCGAAAAGCATTGCAACGTTTAGCACTATAAAAACGTGATGATGGAATGGTCTTGAAATTTGCTTTTGGTCAAGACTTACATTCAATGGTACATACAACCAGTCTAGTCATGTCTATAAAGCTCATCAGTGAATTGCCTTTAAATGTAGTCTTTACTTTTCCAGATTCATTTAAAAGTGTTCGACGACACACAATACAGTGCTAAATCTGTGATACAGGACGAGAACCGACCGGGGTCCAGCAATAGTGTAGAATGATAAAACTTGTACTTGCCGGGAACCAAAAATGAACAAACATTTATATAAATATATGTATCAGATAACAGGCAGGGTGTAAATATACAAATGTATCTATTTATTTGATATGTCACATGGTACAATACAAGAGTACCTTGTATATGTGTGGCAAACTGGCACTAGGTGCTGACTTTTCATTCAGAAGACAATGTTTAACAATTAACCTACTGAATTTTTGTAATGGATTTGCCCAGCTTTGAATTTGGAACAGTCCATTTGAATATTAAGGGGTTTTAAAGCTGCATGCCTCCAGATGAGCGAAAATATTTCAATAAAATCGAACTTGAGAAAAATGTACCAAGATTTTAGGAAAAATATTAAAGATTCAAGTAATATTTTACATGTTATGTGCGATTAATGACTGATTTTTCAAAATTTATAACTTTATTTCTACTGCGTTACTAATGCAGTAGGTGCTATTTTTGTATATTTTGTCCTTTTTTTAGTAATTTACGTGGATTTTAAGTGCCATTGATAATGTGTAAATTGCTTTTTTTTTGGTTATTTCACTAAATAATACTTTTTAACACATTTTCAAAATTGACATGAAAATTAGCATGAATCTGGAGGCGTGCTGCTTTAATGTCAAAATACAAAAATGGAGCTACCAATAGTATACAGTCTGGTCAGACGTCAAAGATGTGTCCCCTGGCCTGGCTTGATACTGGTGGAGTATGGTTTCATCAGGGTAAGGGTTAAAGCCTTCTGATTTGTTTGGAGCAACATGTTTAGAGCTTTCATTCTTAGTTTAAAGATATACTATGCTCTAAAATTGATATTAGAAAATATTGATAATTGCTACAAAGTATCTTTGTACATATAAAATAAACAGGTTTTGACATCACACAAAGTAGATTATGTTTTGTTAAAAATTCTACGCACCAAGTGGTCATAATATGAATATAAAGTGTCATTTGAAAAACTTGCAGCTTTTTAAAGAAAAGACCAACTTTACTTGACTTGTACTAGGGAAAGCAGCTTCTCATACATAGTTTATTCATTCTTTAATTCAAATGAAACATATTCAGTAAGAATTTCAAAGATTTCAATCAAGTTTCTATAATTAAAATTTTTTACTCAAGGATGAGCATAGTATATCATTAAATACATAAGTTTTGAAATTGTTCTGCCTCTGAAATCATACATTCACTGTTCATTTGCACATCTATATTTATAACCTTGGATCCAGTTCATACTTAAATTAAGAAACAGGAAGTGAAAGAAAGTTACACGGCATTTTTGTTCGTTATTTTAGATTTGTCCTAAAGGTAATTGTATGAAAGTTTTATATTACACAATATTGTGCACTACAGCTTTTAAGAACTAAAATCTGGTGTTAAATGAAAAAAGAAAAACTAAAAATTTGGTATAATTTGTGTAGTTTTATGAAAATGATTAAGTTGATTCTATATGATAGAAGTGTGTTCATGTATATTCATGTATCATAGATGGTACATGTAAATATATTTGATAAGAGCTATTCATGAGTGAAAAGAGTGTTTAAGCTCTTGATATATTTTCTGAGCATTATTTAAAGTTTGTAATCCTTAAGTGCGGCTTTAAACAAGGAAACAGTAATGATCCACGCAAGTAGCATAACTGTGTCATGCATTGTATCCAAGTTACCTCCCATTAATGTACTTCAATAATATAGTGCTTTTAGGGGCATGTGTGTTGATCAAATGCAAGATATTTTTAAAAAATATCTGTTTTTTCCCCCATTGTTTTAGTTTAGTTGATATTTTTGGAAAATACTCATAGGATAAATATTATTTTTTTGATTAAGATTTTTTTTCTTTTCTTAACTCCTTTTCTGTTAATTTGAAGGTATTCCACTTCTGGTGCATTTTATGCTTCAGATTTTTGCATTTCTAACAGAAACAACCCTTTACATTTGTGCCATTCCTCCTGGTGTGATACCATATTTTCTCTAATAAATATCTCTAATAAATGTCCCTCCCCTAATAAAAGCCCCTTGCCCGTTTTTGACATAGGAAATGTAAATGATAGAAGTTTATTATAAAACCATTGAAATAAACAAAAGTATATAATTAAAATCTGTGGAAAATGACACAAAAATAGTAAAGATTCTTTTTATGTTGATGATATATAACATTTTTCCTTCCTATTTTAATTAATGCCACCCTTTTTAGAATATGTACGCCCTTCAGGGGCTTTATTAGAGAATATACTTTAGATATTAGGTTTTGTAAAATAGCTATTTATTCTCACATAAGTTGTAAAATAGACCAAGTAATAGAGTAAATTTCATCTTTTCTATGACCTTGAGAAAGAGTTTTCTTAGTTATTCCTTGATAAAATTAATGTATATTGGTCTGTGGGCTTTTACAATTCTGTGAAGGGAACCAGATATTACTATCTTGTAACTGATTGGTTGATTCAAAATTGTTGTTTTTGAATCTGACCAATGACAAGAAAATTTACTGTTTTACTTTTGTTGCGTGAGAATTCATGAGAATTCACTTTTGAAGGATCATACTTTTGAACTTGAGTTAAATGCCTGTTAATGAACAAAGTTACATGTTTTTTTTCTGTTTATTAGTGCAATATGATGTTTTATTTTTCTGTTCATAGTAAGATGCTTGCAAGTACTGATGATGTGTTATATCATCGCCTTAGTGCAGTAACAGGTTAACTCCATTAAACTATGTAAGACTTTAACCCGTTACTGCACTAAGGTGACAATATGTTGTTTTTAATGATAATTATGATTTTTGTCACTGGCATTCCGATGTAGATGTATGATTTTTAACTTGTTTTATTAAGTTTATTTATAATGCCCTTACATCAATAGTTTGGTGTAGGGGGTGGGGCCAGGGGGCCTGTTTTTCTGGACCTCTTGTCAAGACATCTGCGAAATCTGCACTCTGGATGCGCCTTTTGTTGTTCATTTTCTATTCTTAGAATGTCTGATGTTTTAAAATGATGTGTACCTTCATTGAACTTGAATTTGAAGTACAGAGATTTTTACTCCCAAATTCTAGTATAACAGAAAGTTAAACTGTTTGTAACAATACAATGAAGGATTAAGAAGCTATTTTAGTTTTTATGTTGCTATTTTGTTTGTTGTTATTGTTTGTTTGACAAAAATTTGAATGCCCATTATATAATCTTTATTTTTTCATGCCTGTAAATTGTTAATAACACAGCTTGATTCTACATATGTATTATCAAAATTGTTGTAAGAAGAAAAATGCAAGCCCTTTCTTTTAAGCTCACCTGTACACAATGTGCTCATGGTGAGCTATTGTGATGATACCCCCTCCGTATAATATTTTAAGTCAGATTTTTAGTTTAGTATATGTACACAAATACACTGGAGATTACAGAAAACCAACTTTCTGGAGGTTTTGTGTGGCAGAAAAATCCAAACTTTCTGGCAGTTTTGTGTATAACAGAAAACCAACTGGAGATTTTGTGTAACAGAAAACCAACTGATTGGAGATTTTGTGTCACAGAAAACCAACTTTGCAGAGGTTTTGTGTAACAGAAAACCAATTTTGTAAAGGTTTTGTGTAACAGAAAACCAATTTTGTAAAAGTTTTGTGTAACAGAAAACCAATTTTGTAAAGGTTTTGTGTAATTTTCAGTGGTTTTGTAAGGCAGTCTGTTCAAGTTTGACTGTTTCTGTGATTTATTTTAAAAATTAAAGGAAATGATTTTTTTTTGTTGATTTTGTTGTGATAGAGACAAATTTGTACAGATAATTGCTCATGCATGAATAAATGTTTGATAAAAGAAATATAACATATTTTTACAATAAGATATTTATTGTTGGTCATTCTTTGACACTACTTTTAACATTGAAAACATACTGTGGGTTCATACATATGTCAAAAATATAAAACCACAAAATTTGTTAAAAAAATGTGGCTGTACTGATAAGGAGAGATCACTGTGTAGGACATTGATATATGTGACCTATTTGTTGTCCAATCAATAACTTGGGAAAGGAATAAGCATTGGTTTAATATCACTTGGTAGGGACATTAGTCATGTCTAGTGGTGATCCTTATTGATTTTGAGGTAAAAAAACTTATGATTTAGTAGGGACCTTGCTTATGACCAGTAGGTGCTATCTGTTGATATGATAAGGTCAGAGTCATAATAACAGTGTTTAATTTCCTTGTCTTAGAGCTGAAGTTTATGAAACTTAATAGTGTCATAAAGTAGTTTGGCCTGAAGGAGACTTACCGCTATATAGGTAAATTTCACAGTATATCATGAAATACATACATGACATATGTTCTTGTCGTTTTCCTCAGTCATAAGTCTGTGAAACTTGCAAGTTGTAAAACTTATATTATTAAAAAAATTTTAGTATGTTACTTTGACAGCAAAAAGTGGGCATAAATTCTTACGGACACATTTCCAGTTGTATATTTAACAATTTTAGCCAGTATACATGTTAATTACATGTAGCAACTGATCAAGCTTACATGAAACAAGGTCTTGCAACTATTAATAGTATTAATAGGGTAAATCTACAAAAATATGTTTGGGCCCCGTACACAAATAGCTTTCCAGGACATGACTTTCTGGGACTAACAAGCACTGTGGTGTCATATGAAGTAACAGGGTAATTACTCAAGTGAGTAACTATAGGGCTCTAGGTCAATAAGCTTCCAAGGTTAAATTCTTAATGGCTAAATATACAAAATATATAAAAATAACGTAAAACAATAACTGTCTTTAAAGTGTTTAAAGCTATAAATCTGCTACCTGCAGTCTCAAAAAATATTGTTCTAGTTTTAAATAACTCCAAAATAGCTGTATGAAAAAATGATGTTGGTATTTTTTCTACAAAGCTAATAGCATATGCACGAAATCATTGCTAAACAGTTAAAAAGTGTGCCACAGAATAATGTTTTAAAGCGGAACGTTCTATTCTGATTACATACAATATTAATTCATGTGTGCTAAATAACAGAAACATTCTATGTTAATACTCTTTCAAGAAACCACCACACGATTATGGAAGCAACATAATTTTATTTTTATGAAATTTTATAAAAAATTTCATCGGTTTAAGATAAAGTTTTATGCCCTTTTACTTAATATGGATAAAATTGAAAAGAGTTAAGACGTGAAGTTTCACATTTTTTTATTATTTTGCACATGTCATAAACAGTAATTATTTTTCTTTAAAAAAAAAAAGCATAAAATTTCAACATAGATAAAAATGCAATAATGTATACATAGTATAAAGAAAATACTCTTTACCTTTATACGTTTTTTTTTTACTTTCATGTCAAAGGAAAATTGCTGGAAAACATATATATCTGGTTTTAACATTTTAGAAATTTATAACAGAAATAATCCATTTAAAAAGTATATGTAATTATTGTAAATCAAAACAGTGCACAAAATAAGAAACTAAAGCATGGTTCGTATGAAACAAATTTATTTCTGAAACAAAAATTTAAGGCTTTTTCAAGGGGATCTGTAAAGTCTTAACATTAAAAATTAAGAACTTCCATGAGTGAGATTTATTAAATATTAATCAAAAATACATTTCTTCAAACAAATTTATCAAACTTTTTTTCCAATTAATTTTAAGGGTTTTTCCAGACCATTCAGTTAATTTCTAGTGTTTGTTTTTCCAGAGGTTTCTTAGCAAAATGTCAGTTTTTTCAAGGTTTTTTAAGACAGACATCAAATTCAAAAGGGTATTCAAGAACTGCGTGTCAAATCATATGAAATTATGTTATTACAGAGTACAAATGTATATGAATTTCATACTGTAAGCTTATCATTATTACGTGAATAGAAACAAAACCTTTTTGAATCAAAAACAAAAATTTGGCCTCGATTTGTGGGAGTTTTTGTGTGAAGTGGGGGAGGAATCCTGTAAAAGCACAAGGCACTAAAGCATATAACATATAAAATTTACTTAACAATAAATATAAATAAAATATCACAGTAAGAACGGAAGTGATGGCTGTAAGAAAATATTTTCATCAAATTATTACATGTTACATATAATATGATACTACATGTAAATGCAAAATTTTATTACGTACTATTTTATATTACATGTATTTGATAATTAAAAAATGGCCAGTCAAATGACAATAACTCTACCATTTTGTATACATATTCTGACACTTAATAATATGATGTGATGAAGCAATGAAAACCTTATGATACTTTAAAGATAGTTTGAGATAATTTTCCATGAAATTAAAAAAAATCTACATAAAACAAAAATGGAGAACTTCTGACAAGTTCGAATAAATTTTTTTTAATGATCTAAGTATAATCACAGTGTTATTAAAATACTGAAGTCACCACATCAACAGCCTATTTTAATATCTTTTTCAAAAGGAATGGACCATATAATAGTCACTCCAGAATTTGTGATAAAATTATTAAAATTATTCATTGCGTAACTGGACCCAAAACCTGTCGAATTTGTGTAATGGATTTGCCCTCCTTTGAATTTGGAACAGTCCATTTAAAGCTTAAGGGATTTTAACATCAAAATACAAAATATGCATGGATGTGAACGCTTGCCTGGCTCTAAACTTGTGACAAAGGGTTTATTAGGAACAATTATTTTTAATAAACATGTGCTGTATATCAGGTTATTTTTGCGTATGTCAAATTTTGCAAATTTGGCAGTAAAATCTTAATTAAGCAAATCTAATTAAAGCAATTTTGATGTATATATTTCATTTTTTCACGGTTTTCTGCCAGTCTTTTTGTCAGAGATTTATTGTTTTCACAATTTGCAAAAACCCTGTATTAAAATGAAGGAAAATTCAAGGCAAATCAATTATTCACGATATTCACTGCATGCCAAAATTAGATACTCGCAAAAAAAACCCCTAATATACAGTATTTTTATGATGATTAATATCTGACTTCCTTTTTAATGTAAAAAGGACCTTAATCTTTGTTTACAATCAACCATGGAAATACATAATTATGTATAATTTGTTTACTTTAAATAATAGTAATTTTTTCAAGCTCCAAGTTTTGCAATTTGTATCAATTATTTCCAAATTGCTACTTGGAACTTACCAATATAGTACTGGTGTCATTCAAGAAAATAGGGTCATGACCCCCACTGTCTCCGAGTGAAGAGCCACAAATTAATCTTCACTGGTGACTCATCTTTAATCATGTACGTTCTATGAAAATATTTGATAAAAGGTAGATTTCTATGATCATTAAAGAAAGACAAAGAAAATACCTTAATTCCAATCAGTTTTCAATTACATATATACAGCATTAACAGTAAAATTTCAGTTATATATACATTAACACAGTTTTTCTATTTTTTTACATTTACAAATGTGAAAATTATTTACAAATCACCTAACATACATACACATTATTTTGATCATTCATGATTAGTCTATAAAAATCTATAAAGTCTATTTACACACATTAGGGTCACTACTACTGACAAATCATGGCGGTAAATGCATATTCTAATAATAGTAACATCATAATCTATTTATAGTAACAATATAGTCTATTTATAGTAACAGCAGGATTCTCTATTTTGATTCATTTGTTTCCTCTGTATCTTCGTCTGCTTCATCAGCATTCTGTATTGTAGTTCCCAGAATTCCCTCAATATCAGCTATTGCACGCTGAAACACAAATACATAAAACTTATTAAGTTAGGTATTGTGGCGAAACTTATCAATATATTATAGGTAAAAATTCTATACAGTTGACAGATACTGTGCCACAAAATAGTTGCAGCAGACACCATGATCAAATTTGTCACAAATGCAAACATCATAAAGTCAGTCTCAGTGCAGCAGGTGCAAACTATCAAATTTATCGCAGAAGCAGATACAGTGATCAAATTTGTGACAGTAGCAAAAGCAATGATCAAATTTGTACTGACAGTAGATCAAATTTGTACTGACAGTAGGTGCAATGATCAAATTTGTACTGACAGTAGGTGCAATGATCAAATTTGTACCGACAGTAGGTGCAATGATCAAATTTGTACTGACAGTAGGTGCAATGATCAAATTTGTACTGACAGTAGGTGCAATGATCAAATTTGTACCGACAGTAGGTGCAATGATCAAATTTGTAACAGCAAGAGAAACAATAAACAATTTGTCACAGCAGTAGGCACTGATCAAATTTGTCACTGTGAGGCTGAGCAGCAAAAAGAATGATCATATTTTGTAACAGTATCATAATAATATCATGATTTAAATGATTTCATAATATTATATAAAGAAATGGTTTGTTATTGTTTAATTAATGCTTGGACAGCTGAAATTGACAGCCAACAATGTTTTCCACTACTGAAAAGCAAAGCCAATCTGCATGTGTGTTTAGGCTCTGTTCTGTGGACTGACCTGAACTTCAAACCTTTATCCTAATTTCCCCAAAGCTGATAATGGATCATTTCAAAGTTGGAAGTCAGACATGTCCATTTATGAAATTTGGAAATATTCTGCTTGTGTGATAATAACATTGAACAAAGTACATGTAAATCTGTTAAGACATATTATAAATTGAGCCACTGGAGTAAGCTGACTATACATTAAATAAAACAACTTAATAAAATTTCTAAATGTACTTACACTAAAGTTTGTGTCCCCTTGCATATTTGGGGCGGAAATTTCTTGGTGTATCACTGACATATTTCGGGCAAAACTAGCTAATGCACCTTGCAAAGTTTCACCTATTGCTCTGAAATAAAATAAAACCATGCTTGTCTTTTATTTCAATTCTATGCATCAATCATTACACTGTTTCCTTCAATTATAAAGGTATCATTAGATACCTGCAGCTGACTATCCTATCACTTCATTAGTAAAAAAGTCCCTAATAGGGCTTTTTTGCACAGGTAAATTTGCAGAAAAATAATACACTATTTTCAAAAAAGGGAAATTAAAACTCAATTTAAATTGAATTATAAGGGAATACTGCATGACTTAATAGATTTTTCCTAAGGGGCCTGGCGCAAGCTGCCCTTGAAAATGCCCTTGCTATCAAAGGATTAAAATAAGCCCTGCCATATAAACTTTACAGTTAGTTGTTTGACTAAAATCCCCTTCTTTCTGCTAAAATAACAAATTCACCAGACCAGTTTAAAAATGCTTAATAATTCATGTACATAGTCATTAACAGATAATATTTATTGTAAAAACTTATGCATTTTCACAGATTTACATTAAAGCACTTACAACATGCCAAGTTTTTCTCTGTTAAAACTGTCTATCAACATAAACACTGTTCCTTGCTTTTCCTGAAAACAACAATAAAATCAGTTTATATCATGCTTAACTTGACCATATACAGTATATTCTCTAATACACGCCCCTCCCCAAATAAATGCCCCTCCTCCCAATTTTATCAAAGAAAAAGAATGGGCTGTTCAAAATTCAAAGTTGGCTAAACCCATTACTTAAATTCAGCAGGTACATTACTTTATGGTATTAAATGAGTGGCAAATTTTATGGTTTAAATAAAAGGCGTTATTGACAACAACATGTATACCTTTATATCATATCCTATACCGTGGGCACGGCACATCTGGAAGAACACACTGTAATGTACTACAGACAGGTTTGTATGTAACAGTCGTGTACTCATTACACCAAATCTGTTAGTGTTGGGTGGTTGCTGAAAAGAAAAAAAATAAAAAAAATAATCATGAGCACAATTCAAAATATACTTTTATTTTTGTAAATAAAAAAATTCCATTATAAGTTTGATAGAAAAATGCTTTTTTTTCTAGTAAGAAGACTGTTTTCATAGTTCATTCTTGCAATGTGGTAGATTATCACATACCAATGCCGGATTTTGCGACTCTGTAAATATGGTTTTGTACAGTCATGCATATATCTTTACCTGACATCATTTACGTTAAACAAACATAGTCTAAAGACACGCTACAAAAAAATTTTGGGACAGATTTGTTCAGATTTCAGAAGTTCTGGAATTTAGAAGTTCCGGAATTCAGAAGTTCCGGAATTCACAAGTTACACTGTCCAGTCATTAAATGTAGAAGATATGTACAGGTATGTAATAAAAGTATTATCTACAAATGTGTATTAACTTTAATAATATGAAATACAGTACAGGTTTCACTTACAAATAACTATATAAATTCTACGTAAAACTTATTACGCAGTATTGTATCATCATAAAGTTCGATATATATTGTGTGAACTCATCTTAAGGTGTGCAGCTTTTAAATACATGTGCATTTATTCAAATTCATACAAATGTGATTTGATTCTAAAATTTTGGCAGAATTTAAAAAAATTCTAATTCCAATGTCATTTTTCAAAATAAACCAAAAACAATTTTTTAACAACAAATCGTCACCTTAGTGCAATAACGTAATAAGTGCTTCTAAATTTAATAGCAATATGACACACTTACATCTTCATCAGTTCCATGTAACCTTCGCCTTCGTTTTTTGGCCTCCTGTTTCGGTGGTGGAACGTCAAACACGTGTGAGTTTGTGTTCAAAGTTCCGTTACTGACAAATGACATGAGATAAAACATGGCTAGACTGTCGCTATATTGTAAACTGATATCTAATGCCCATAACTTCTGTTCCATCTGAAATAAAACAAACAAATCATGAAGAATTCTATATATACAACACAGAACATCTGATAAAACCCTCACCTTCTTGCGGCAACTGATTCTACCTATTCGATCAGTGCAGACCATGCCGTCTGATTATGGTCTGCACTGTTTGCTTTCCAATCAGTACTTGCTTTTGAATTTTTCCCTAAAGATTATGAATGGTTTTGTCCATATTGAAATATGGACACTCCATTTTTGGTATTTTGAGTGATAAGGGTTTAACACCATACAAAACAGCGTTGTTATAGAACTCAAGTAGCAGTTGTTTTTTAAAGGTTAAGATATTTACAGTTGTAAATATGACAGTTGAGATTAGGTTATCAATCACAGGTATATAAAGTCTGCCTGACTTAGTTAAATATAGAGAGCATCATATTTTGTTATCAAGGGGTCACTGGTATGATCCTTACGCATGGTGAAATTTCTCCTGGACAAATTGTCTATAGTGGAACCTTTACAATACTGCAGGAATGCTGGACAGTTGTTTTGTTGTTTTTATATTGCAAAAGAAATATTTATACATGGTCATATTACCTGTCAAAAATTTTTGTAACAAATTCATGATGCAGCAAAATTGTTTTTTTTGAAGAAAAAGAATATAATTAATGTATATACATTAAATAAATCTTACAAATGTCCAATGTAAATCTACGTTAGAAATGTTCAGTATTGTTAGAAATATAAACACAGGAAGGCTTGATATGTCTCCACTTACTGTAGTAGGATTTATAAATGTGACAAAATCAATCGCAAAGTATCCCATAATTCCCCTTCTCTTACATGCTTCTGCTATGCTGTAACATGCTACATTTAGACTATCCGGTTCTACTGAGGATTGTGGGATAGACACGCCCCAACAGGAGAATGGAGATTCAGCGTGGATTTGATCTCCGCAGCTTACGAGACTAACAACTCCGTTTGGCTCTATTAACATGTCAACTGTCAGGGTAGTAATACTGTCTGAAGGTGGACACGCCTCAATTACACCACCTTGAATAATGTCATACAATAATAGGATTGTGCATCTAATTATAGAATCATAATCTAATTATAGAAACATATATCTAAAAATAGAACCATATATCTACTGATAGAATAAAGCATCTCACAACAGAGTCATACATCTAATAATAAAATCATACTTGTTTATGTAATTATAGAAAGATACAAATAATAATAAAATGACACATCAGATAATACATGTATATTGAAAATGATGATACATCTAATAATAGAACAGAACATCAAGAAAAAGTAAATAAATCTCTAATTTTCTCTAAAAAAAATTTCATTAATTGATAATGGAAATGAAAAAAATTTGATAGGAATTTCCTGGACATTTATCAAATTAAAAAAAAATCTGATAATTTCCAATGAATGGTGACTTGTCTGGTACTAAATGTGTCTCCATACATAACACAAACACAAGTCATTTATTACTTAAAAAAATCAGTAAACCATGTTGAATATAAACTAATGAATACGTAACAAATCCTGATGTTTGGAAGAAAATAAATATGGTAACCAACAAAAATGTATACAATATAATCCAATAATTACCTTGACTAAGGAAGCACTGAAGGAATTTCTCCCATGTGGGATAAACTTTTGTATTGACCGGACAAGCATGTTCTTTCAAAACATCTTCTATCTCGGCCAATATTTTAATAAACACTGGTTCCTGAAAAAATAAATGATAATAACCATAAGAACTTAATTATCCTTTATCCTTCTGAATCAATGTAACATAATTATTCTACTGAATCAATGTAACAGATTTATTCTACTGAATCAATGTAACATACAATGTATTTATTCTACTGAATCAATGTAACATATTTATTCTACTGAATCAATGTAACAGATTTATTCTACTGAATCAATGTAACATATTTATTCTACTAAATCAATGTAACAGACTTCCTAGTTGTCAATGTAGGGTTTAGGGAATTACTATACAAATAACAATTCAGCAGCCAATGTTGCAGCCGTTAGGGATATTAATATCTTAATAGTAAATTGAGCACCCAATAGCAGGCTTAAACTCTTTGCCTACAACCCCAACTGCTCCTACCAAAGGGACATGCAGACGTGTTCTCTATTCAGACACAGTAAACATTTTAAATTTATCCCTGAAAATGATCAATGGTTTGGTTCACATTAAAAAGATGGACAAATCAATTTAAGATATTTAGATTGGTAAGGATTAAACATCCAAATAATAAATCAACTTCAAGTATCAATCATAACAAGAGCTGTTCATATGACAGCGCGCTCAACTATTCTCTTTTCTGGACAGTAAGAAAACAGGAAAAATGGCATAACTGAGACTGTAAAAAAGTAACTGTCAAGTTAGATAATCACAGAGAACAAGCTGTGAAGTTTCAACCCATTCCCGTCAATAGTTCTGGAGATACCAATTTGCACACAAAAAGCAAATCTTAAGTGATACACCAACACTGACACAATGCTGGGGTGAATATAAAAGCTCTCCCTATTCCTCGAATAGTCAAGCTAAAAACAATAACATACCTGCGCCCATTTCTTAGACCATTTGTCGCCATATCTTTTCTCTTCTTTAAGTGCCCAGGTAAAACATTTAAGATGTTCAGTGACATCACAATATGCTATGCCACGCCCATCAAATTCGTCATCCAGTTTAAACAACCATCGTTTAACGTTAAGATTTTCTGTAATCAACTGTGCCAGGCATTCATGTAACTGAAAAACAAAAAAAAACCAATCTAGAGTAATCAGTGATATAAGTATATATTAAATTATTACATGTAAAGTATAACTATATAAGGGGGAATTGCAGGCACTGATAAGCATTACGCAAGGAGCCATATTGGTATTATTTGAAATAAAAATAATGTCACAATGGAATTTAGCACCCTCTTATCAGACAGAAATGTACAAAATCTATGTTAAGCGCAAACTGTTTACAATTTACCACTGTTACAGAAATTAACCTTTTACCCCATGAGCATATTGTGAAAAATGGCCGTTTTCATCTAAAAGCCTCCTGTTACAAGTTCAAACTGCTATGAATCTATGAAAAATGCTTCAATACTGATGAAACTTGGCATAAATGTTGACTGGACAATAGCCTCTGTAACAGCATGCTCAATCAAAAATTTCCTGTTACCATGGCAACGGGGCGACGTCTCAAAATTGCAAAAAATCACTATTTTGCATTGTTTTTTTTTCCACCAAAACTGATTTCAAAGTGCTGCAACGTACTTCTCAATGAATTGAGATAGCTTAAAAGGCTTTTCAGCGTCGGTTACTAGTAACCGTAAGATCGACCTGAGGCCATTTTTAGCCTGTCACATGTACAAAATTTTCTTGGCGATGAGGGGGACTACCACCCCCCTTAACAGAAGGGGCACATTCCCCTTCTTGCAACCCCCTGATGTACCATTTGGATTGGGGGCGGCACTGAAAAAGTGGTCACTTTTTTTAAACAACATTTCTCAAACGAAAAAAACAGTGTTTGGGGCCTAAAAAGGGTATTTTTTCACAGTTTGAGGCCTCAAAATAGGGGGGGGGGGGGGGGAAAGCCGTCAAAACACGTCTATATGCGGTAAAAGGTTAAGCACTTATCTAGAAATTCAGTACTATTTTACCTACTGAGTCAAAATTAGTAATGTTTTTGTAATAAAATATTGTGTAGCTTTTTGTTAATTTGTTCTGTGAATTGATGGAAAAGGGCATACTCTTTATCAAACACATATACGATTATAGGAAAAAACAATTTTATAGCTTTAACTAAATGGAAACCTTTATGGCATAGCCCAATCAAACTTTTTAAACTATCACTAACTGACATAAAATGCATACCAAAAGAATGGAAAATAAAACTAAAATGTGAAGGGATTCAATATAAAGCAAATAAGTACTTAATTGATAAATAAAAACCCCAAATTAAAACCTGCCAATTTAATTATACACACAATCACCAAGAAAACAAATGGGAAGCTGAACTCTCAGCCAACTTTGAATGGAAAAATATATTTCATCAAATTATAAACATAACAATTGATACCAAAGTTAGAAGTTTCCAGTATTAATACCTTTTGCATACTCTGCCAAACAATGAAAAACTTTTTAAATATAATATGGTGGAGTCAATGTTATGCGAGTTTGCAACACAGCATCAGAATCTTATGCACATATATTTTCGGAATGCTCAAAATTCAACCATTTTGGTGTAAAATCAGGATTTTTTACAAACAAAATGTTCTACAGACAAAACTTTTGGTATCATACAAAACTGTCAGTCTGTGTAATGTGGATATTCAAAATAATATGAAATCAAACTGCCTTCACTATATCTTACTCTTAAGTCAATATTTCATCTTTAGAAATATATACCAGAAAACTATACCAAACTTCAGTGAATTTTTAAATTATCTTAGATATGAACTTAGTTTAGAAAGAATCTGAAATGAAAAATAAGGTCAAATCCGTTCCTGGAACCAACCAGTACAAAGCAATGAGTGTAAAAGTTCTTTCTGTGATAAATAAAGGAAACAACAGCTTGCCCCTGACAGGGTTTGAACCCACACAGTCAGTCATCCTTTTAGAATTTATATTACTTAAGTGTGACGTGTTAACCACTCGTCCAAGCCGCCACAGCTATTAGCACTGAAATTCATATGCGCATGTCAGCACTACTGCAAAGTTCAAAGAAACAAAAGTCTAAACAAGCTTACCAGACCCATTGTGTACACATCATGGTCACCAGGTGGCGTCTCAACATTAGCACTGGCAAAGATTCTCTGGCAGCCGGATTTTGTAGAGTATAAATGCGCTACTTCTGGTTCCGGGGCGAATATAGGCACATTGAGATACTGAGCAATGTCAAGGTCATCTACGTGCGGAATATTAGTCATCATGTACGCTTCACGACCCACGATGAGGTTCTTTACACGTAGCAACGCTTGCGGACTGTACTTGAGTAGTGTTGAAAGACACATTCGGTGAGTCTGAATATAGATTTAAATAATTGTAAAACATTGAACCTTAAAATTTTTGAAAATATATACTGGTTGGGGACCACCAAAACCAGACAACCACCAAATCTGGACGGCCCCGAAAATGCTTAATTTAGTATTTTCTTTATTCAGTGGTTGTCAGTCACTTTCTTATCAACAATAAGTGCATGTTTCTTTTAAAATTAAGTAAATAAATTTATTTCAACCTTCGTAAATGGTAATATTTTAATGTCTATTTCAAGAATGTTGACGTTGAAATTCGGGGGTCAAGAAAGAAATGCCTGACCTCATATACCAGCTATAATCATTTGCAGAGTAAACAATAGAATATCCAAAACTTCAGCATTTGTTGCTGAAATATTGTATATCATGTTAAAAATCAAAACACCCAAGCTTTTATCTGAATAAATCATGTCATGTACATATCTGTCCGGACACATGGTACTGTAGTGTAGACAATTAAAGTAATTTTGATACCCTCTACGACAGGCCTCAGTTATAAGTGTCAATACAATCAGAAATAAACAAACTAGTTTGTTAGTTAGGAGAAGAACCTAGCTGTACTGTGTCAAATTTTTTGGTCTCTAGGTTTAAAATTATGAAATCTGTACGGAAAAATGTTCAAAAAGTGTCCAGTTGATGGTCCCCGACCAGTAAACTTCAAAAACAAATTATTTTGAATGACATGAAAGTTGTTTCATTAATATATATACTTTTGAAGTTTGAATGCCAGTGGCTAATCTTGGTTTCAATTTAGGTCGAATTGTAGGGCGTTTGTGGAGGTACTTGCATTACCGTAATGCTAGCTTTAACACTTTGAAAACAATGAGAGCTATGTGGTAAAAACATGTTAAGATGATAATAATAAATCCAGTACTTGTTGTGAAATGGTTGTAATTCCTTCTTTATGCCATAGGAGTTATAACCTTTTTGCACTAAACCTTCAAATATTCTCATTTGTGTCTATATCTCTTGTACTTACAGGAAAACTTTTGATTGCCTCTGGAACTATAATTTTATATCTCTCACTAAACTCGCCCTGATCTTCAACGTTTCCAGAGTCAATGGCCGACTTCAAACCGAGCAGTTTAGAATAATACTGTAATGTTTCTTCACTAAGCGGAACGGGTGATATAAATATCACGTCTACATTAGGATCTGTAAAATTAGAGTAGTAAAATATAGCAGGAGAAAAAATAGAACGAAAATATATATAATATATTGTGGGAATAGTAAAATATAGTACGAAAAATTTTAGATCAGTAAATTATAGAATATATTACAGGAATAGTCTGTTTGTTTTATTTTATTTGGTTTAAAGTCACAATGACTCTGTAGAGGTCAAATGGTGACTTTCAAGCTTAACAAGTGAAGTTAGACCTCAAGATCTCCTTCAAGCATTATTTCAGGCGCCTAAGTCGAACAATCAATTTTCTGTTAGCTTGCTAGATTGCTTCTTTGCATGAATTCAAGAATCAAAAGTCCCTGATGGGATTAAAACCCACAGTAGTGAAAGGCAAGTGATTTGAAGCAACCTCATGACCTTAACAGTCAAAGAGGTCCAGTACAAGAATAGAAAGATATAGTATGAGAATTATAATACCACAATAGTAAAATATAGTGAAAAAATAATAAAACGCTTTTATTTCATCATTTTTCCCAAAAATTATTTTTCATAATCACTGCTTAATAACTGGCAAATAATTTTAATTCCAAACAAATTTTGAATGATTTAAACTGGATATTTAAAATTCTCAAAAAAAGAAAAATTAAATTTTTTTAAATGCTTTATACCTCTTATATCACAGAGTCTGGACATCTGGGTATTTTGACGTATTCCAAAATCATGAATGCTGTCTCTTATATCCTGGTTCAAACCTAATGATGGTATATGAATTACAACCCTTTTTGATTTCTTTATACGGTCCCAAGACATCGAAAATTTCTGAAAAAGGAAAAAAAAATCCTTAATTTTGATGTCAAACGTGTAAATGGTTATTAGAAAATGTACATTAGACATATTACTTGGTTTAAAAGTTGCTCAATCAATATAAATTGAAAGTATAAAAAAGGTATAACAATTTAAAGTTACAACTTATAAGCTACACAACATTAAATATTTGATATAATTTTGCTACAGGGAAACTTATCTTAAAATAATTTCCAGCCATGTTCCTGTGAAATTACAATCAAAATGCATGCCTTTGTATTAAGAGTGTAAAATGGTTTGTTTGGTTGGTTGGTTGATTTTTAATCAAACCGCCATTCTCAGATAACAAACCTGAGAAACTATCAATTTTATCACAAGTAACCAACCACTATTCCTACAAGATTTCTGAATGAGCAGTGACAGACAAAAGACCATAAGACTCCTTGTATGCTATCAATAGACACCCGGAATTAAGAATATTTTCAGTTTTTCCCAGCAAATCCGAGGGTTCAAACAAAGTTTTACAGTAAACTGTTACAGCTTTGAAAATAAACACAACAGGTTGATTAATCTATTGTGACCAGTAGTTCACTGTGATGCTATAACTGAAAAAAGTTTTTTTGGGGTACCGGGGGGGTTTTTAGTTTGGGAAAAATCCGACGTTTTTAATAAAAAGTTCCTGTTAAAACATCTACTGTCAAAAGAAATAAGCCCGTTAAAAAATTCCCTCACCTTTGATCTCCTTTTTGGAAAGTTCTCGAGATTAAACCCCCCCCCTGCCCTGTTTAAGCTGCTCCCTGAGGGCTTGGACTTTTTAAAATGGCAGGGTTTCCACGATTTTGGGAAATTTAAACACCTCCCGGCCCACTTCCTGCGGCGTTTTCCCAAATACGGGGCTTTTTCCCTGGTACGGGTTTTTCCCATGGGGGCCTTTAAAATTTTTTTGGGGCTAAATGAAATACCCCCGACCCTTTTGGGCCCCCTTAAAAATCTCCTTCCCAAATATTTGTTGTTTTAAAAAAAAAAATAAAATTCTGATACAGAATTTCATGCACATAAAAAAGCAACTGATTAAATGATGTTTCTTTTCCACAAAAGTGGTATTTTCTTCAATTTCTTACCTATGTCATTGCAATATTTGTATAGTAATAAAATAAGAAGCCTTATGAAAATGAATTCAATTAATTTTTCAAGGTTGGTTCAACCTATATCACAGACATCTAAACAATAGGCATATTCAGTAAACACAAACCAACATCCAATTTAGAACAACAATTACCATTTAACAAGTATGTATTAATTGAGTGGAAACAAATCATTTCAATCCTTTGAGCTTAGGCAGGTATAAGACCAGACGTATAATGAAGTATTCCAAATTCAAAGGAAGGCAAGTTAAGCTGTGTAAGGTTTTAAATAAGTCAACATTGAGCTACACCTTCTAGAGGACGGGCTAAACTAAATTTCCTGCTTATATTAGGGGATGGGCTAAAACCTTTCCTCCTTCTAAAAGGGGATGAAATAAACCTTTCCTCCCTCACTAAACTTCCACACTTCTAATAGTAAATCAATTATAAACACCACATGTGAAAATCTGAATAGTGAGTTACCACCCAGCCAGGAAACTATTGGTTCTCTGTATGATTTTAATGATGAAACAACGGAAGAAATTTTAGAAAACAGTGACATACTTAATAATAGTGCCTGTGATAGTGAACACCTGTATGACATTTTTGATGATGTTAAAAACCTTAAAAACTTAAATAGGAAAAGACCGATAATTGGTCATCTAAATATTAATAGTATAAGATATAAATTTCAGGAAATTAGACCCATTTTTGATAATAATCTTGTTGATATTTTCTGTATTTCTGAAACCAAAATTGATCATTCTTTCAGTGATAACCTGTTCTCAGTTGATGGATACAAGTTACACAGATGTGATAGAGATGCCCATGGTGGAGGCTTGCTGACACTAATACGGGCTGATTTACCTATTAAACGCCGTACAGATTTAGAAAATCAAGGTCTGGAAAATTTATGTTTTGAATTGAATTTGTTAAAAAGAAAATGGGGAATTATTTTTATATATAGACCACCTTCAATGTCTGACCATCTTTTTGAATCAAGGCTATCTGAAACATTAGACAAATTATTCATTAAATTTGACCATGTAATTATAACTGGGGACTTAAACTATGATATGCTAAATCCTACCAAAAGTAAACTCCTTACAAACATCATGGATAGTTTCAACTTGGTAAATCTAATTGACAAACCAACATGTTTTAAGAATATAGACAACCCAACCCTTATTGATGTAATTTTAACAAACTCGTCGTCTTTGCTATGTAATTCATCAGTTATCAGTAGCAGCATAAGTGACTGCCATAGTATGATATTTACAACTCTCAAAGAACAGGTTAATACCGTATCTAAAAAGAGAATACCTTTTAGGAGTTACAAAAATTTTGATGAAAATGTTTTTAACAATGAACTAGACAAAGTACCGTTCCAAGTAGCATTTACTTTTGATGATGTTGATGACACTTACTGGGCATATAATAAACTTTTTAATGAAATTTTAGACGAACATGCACCTATAAAACAAAAATATCCTAAAAAGTCTTCACCACCTTATATGAACTCTAAATACAGAACAAGATTGCATTTGAGAAAAATGCTATGCCACCGCATTAATACAACACTAAATAGTAGTGTAGAAACAGATTTTTTTTGTTTCTATACAATTTTGAAGATTGTCATAATGCATAGATCCCTGACCTATCTAATTATTATTATCAGATTAGTGGTTAAATCTGTTGTTAACTCAATAAAAGATCAGAGTAGGAATATATCAATGCCCTTGAGTCTAGTGAATTTGATGGTCATATTTCACACAGCCTAAATTTCATGACTACATCAAAGGACAACACAGTAAGACACTTTGTCAAAATCTAGGTCAGCTGAAATCAAAGTTCACTTAACATCTTAATCTGTACACATGGTTCAAATTTTATAGCTGTACATAAAAGGACAAGAAAGTAGGTCACATCATCAAAATCTAGGTCACCTGATATCAAAGTTCAATTTTACAACTAAAACTGTGCACATGGTCAAAATTTCATTGCTGTACATCAAAGGACAAGAAAGTAGGTCACTGTCCCCTTGGGCAAGGCAAATTTTGGACCCAAGGGTTTAATTCAAAACAATCTTGATACAGGTCCACCAAACAACATTTCAAGCCAAATATCTAAGCTGTAGCTTTCTCCCATTCAGAAAAGATTTTGTTTTTGTACAATCTTGCTAGAGGTTCACTACATAATGTTTCATGCAAAATATCTTAACTCTAGCCTTTGTAAATTTAGAGAAGATGATTTTTTAAGTTTTTACTATATACATATAAGGAAAACCTATGGCCCACGGGGCGGGGCTAATTTTGACACAAGAGGCAAAATTTGAACAACTTTGGTAGAGTACCTATAGATGATATTATTTAACAAATATTCAAGCTCTAAGCCTTGTACCTTCAGACAATAAGATTTTTTTATTTTTTACTATACATGTATGTATATATTGAAAATCAATGACCCCGGGGCAGGGGCAATTTTGACCCCAGGGCTATAATTTGAACAATCTTGCTAGAAGTTCACTTCACAATGTTTCATGCAAAATATCTAACCTATAGCATTTGTCAATTGCTAGAAGAAATTTGTTTACTATAAAGTTTTTACTATATACATATAAGGAAAACCAATGACCCCCGGGGCAGGGCCGATTTTGACCCCAGGGCTATTATTTGAACAATCTAATTAGAGGTCTACCAGACAATGCCTTATGCAAAATATCTAAGCTCTAGGCCTTTTGGGTCTTTACAAGAAGGTATTTTAAGTTTTTACTATATGTACATATAGTGAAAATCAATGACCCCCGGGGCGGGGCCGATTTTGACCCCAGGGTTATAATTTGAACAATCTTGGTAGAGGTCTATCAGACAATGCCTTATGCAAAATATCTAAGCTTTAGGCCTTTTGGGTCTTTACAAGAAGTTATTTTAAGTTTTTACTATATGTACATATAGTGAAAATCAATGAGCCCCTGGGGCGGCGCCGATTTTGACCCCAGGGTTATAATTTGAACAATCTTGGTAATTGTCTATCAGACAATGCCTTATGCAAAATATCTAAGCTTTAGGCCTTTTGGGTCTTTACAAGAAGTTCTTTTAAGTTTTTACTATATGTACATATAGTGAAAATCAATGACCCCCGGGGCGGGGCGGATTTTGACCCCAGGGTTATAATTTGAACAATCTTGGTAGAGGTCTACCAGACAATGCCTTATGCAAAATATCTAAGCTCTAGGCCTTTTGGGTCTTTACAAGAAGATTTTTTAAATTTATTCTTATAATTCCTTTTGGTTGCCATGGCAACCAGATTTCTGCATGGAATGAAATTCTTTGAACAACTTTAGAAGCCCTTCACCCAAGGATCAATCCTGCCAAGTTTGGTTGAAATTGGACAAGTGGTTTTTCACAAGAAGATTTTTTAAGTTCACTATATAATCTATATAACACACACACACACACACACACACACACACACACAGGTGAATCGCTATATGCCACCGCATCGCAGATGCTGCGGTGGCATAAAAATAATCTACCAAACAAGACAGGCACATAACACATATCTGAAATATAAAACAAAAAATAATTGGGAAAAGTATAGAAAACTCAGGAACTTCAAAACAAAAATAAAACGTGAATCTATTACCACCTATTTCATGGAAAGATGTAGCGGGGGCCCAAAGTCTAAAGATTTCTGGCCAACAATCAAACCTTTTTTAAGTCAAAAATCCATTTTGAAAAGTTCAAGTAACATTATTCTTAAGGAAAATGAGTCGCTGATTGCCGATCAAACTAAAGTGTGTGATATGTTAAATGACTTTTATGTAAATATAGCCAAAAATAATTTGGGATAAATAATCAGACTATTACTCAAGTGAACACCCTAGTATTA